TTCGCATTATTTAAAGAACTCTTGTGTTACGATGTACCTGCTATTACCTGCTTTGCTTGAAGAAGACTGTGGCAAATTATTGTACTCAACACCGGTCGGTTTCCAGGGAGTGCAGGTAGCCAAGCCTAGCAGGACCAGCAGAGAACTCATGGTTGGTACCAAGTGCATGGCCAGAATGGGGAGAACTGCACGATTCCATTAGAGAGAGAAAAAGGCTTAGGGCTTAAAACCTAGAGGAGATGCCCTCAGATACATGTGACAGCATCAAAAGTGCAGCTGGCAGTAAACTACCTTTCATATTCAACTGTAAGAACCCCTTTCCCAAGGGCCATTAGTAGGACCAAATCAGGACTCTTCTATGATCTAAAGGAATTACTGGCAATTATGTTACAAACCAGCTACTAGATAGAAGGACAGCACGTATTTTGCCAATAGTGTATAGAACTGATTGCTAGATTTCTTAGAAAAGTCAGGAGTCAAGACTCCTGGCTGTAGAGGTAAATGGAGCCTTATAGTTACAGACACTATACATGAGTACATAGATTTGGCATGTTTATATTAAAAGGTCACATGGATGAGAAGAAGAAACAGTAGATTTTATTCCCAGCTCTCTATTTTTTGACTAGATGTTACCTAGAGTTGACAGAAGTCTGGACCCTGGTACAGAACGTTAACCACCTCCCAGTGTCAGATGTTGTGGAGTATGGCAGGAAAATGCTTGTATGTGGTGCTCATTAGGGGTGTGCGAAACAGGCCGTATTCGATTCAGCTTTGGCCCGAATTGGACACAGTGATTCAATTAGTTGATTCAGATCGCTGTCCCTGATTCTATTTGGCCAAATCTAAAGATTTGATGCCAAGTCAAAAAATCAGCGATTCAGCCAGACATAGCTTTAAAAATTTTTTCTACATACCTCGAGGTACCAGGTGCGGCTCATGAATGCTGAGATAGTGAGGTGGATGGAGCATCCCACAGGGAGCACAGGGGCCCCCCCGCGTGCTCGGCAGTGAACCCGGAAGTAGACCAGAAGTACTTTCAGTCCACTTCCGAGTCTGCCAGAGTGTGCAGGGGGGGTCCCCCCGGTCAGCAATCAGCCATAGGGGGACCCCGGGTGCCCTCTCAGACCCAGGAGGCACCAGTCACCGAGCCAGGGGGGGCACAGGAATCCCCCGCCAGCACACTCCCTGGTGGACCTGGAAGCGGATCGGAACTGCTTCTGGTCCACTTCTGGTTCTGCTGCCAAGTGCACTGGGGACCCCCTGGCGCTCCTGTTGGACACTTCATCCACCCCACCATCTCAGCATTTATGAGCTGCCTGCTACCCTGAGGTATGTAGAAAAAACTTTTAAAGCTGTGTCTATGTCCGAATCACCGAATCTTTCCAAATTGATTCAGAGGGTTCTGATTCAATTCAGAGAGATTAAAGGGTCTCCTGATTAGATTCAGATTCAGTTATTCAGCCACCAAATCAGGCCAACTCCCTGCCGAATCAAATCAGGGGCCGAAGCTTCACACAGCCCTAGTGCTCATTCTCACATGCAGTCTCACTGTTAGAGAAACAAGGAAAGTAAATCACCAAAATAAAACTAATATGGGTATGAGTTTGCTTGAACTGCACTTTCAGGAGGCAGGAAGGCAAATTCATTTTCTTCTTACTTTGTTTAACAAGAGAAGATATCAGGAAAAGAAAGGGCCACATAAGTGGAAGTTGAAAGCAAGAACCCTAAGTCTCTCATTACACAAAGTGTTCAGGAGTTTTTCATAGTTTCATAGATTGGTAGGGGGTGGAAGGGACCTTGCAGATCATCAGGTCCAGACCCCTCCCTGCAGGAAGACAACTGGGGTTAGGTGACCCCAGCAAGGGGACTGTCTAGTCTCCTCTTGAAAACCTCCAGGGTAGGTGACTGCACCACCTCTGGAGGGAGTTTATTCCACAATCTGGACACCCTGACTGTGAAGGAGTTTCTCCTGGTATTAAGCCTGAAGCAGCCTTCCAGGAGTTTGTATCCATTGGTCCTGGTCTTCCCCAGGGGTGCCCTAGTGAACAGTTGTTCACCGAGCTCCTGATGCACTCCTGATAAAGTGGTAAGCCATTAGCAAGTGCTCTCTCAGCCTTCTCTTCTTTAGGCTAAAGAGGCCCAAGTCTCTCAGCCTTTCCTTGCATGGCTTGTCTTGCAAGTCCCTGATCATGCGGGTGGCTCTTTTCTGGACCCTCTCAAGTTTTTCCACATCTTTATTGAAGTGCGGTGCCCAGAACTGGATGCAGTACTCCAACTGTGATCTCACCAGTGCTGAGTACAGTGGGAGTACCACTTCCTTAGTTTTACACAAGATGCATTGGTTGATGCATGCCAGCATGTTGTTTGCCCTGCTGACCACTGCCTCACACTGATGGCTCATATTCATGCAATGGTCAATCGTTACTCTTAGGTCCCTTTTGGTCATGGTGCAAGTCAAGCTGTCACCACTGATCCTGTATGTATGTTGAGGGTTGTTCGCCCCCAGATGGAGCACCTTACACTTGAAAATGTTAAACTTCATCTGGTCTGTCTAACTCTCGAGCCTGTCCAGGTCCACCTGTATCTGCATCCTACCTTCTGGCATGACCACACCACCCCATAACTTGGTGTCATCCACGAACTTGGCCAGCGAGCTTTTCATTCCCCCATCCAAATCATTGATCAAGCTGTTGAAAAGCACCAGTCCAAGCATGGACCCCTGAGGGACTCCACTGTTAGCCGAAACGGTGTTTGTTCCCTCTCTGATCTAATCAGGTCAGGACATCTTTCAGAATCAGGATGAAGTCCTAGTGGTGTCATGTTGAATCTTGGGTTCCCAGGGGACAGTGTATAACAGCCAATACAGCAAAGCTAGCTTTCTCTAGTCCATGAGTCCCACTGAGTTAAACCCAAATAAGCCATGTCCAAGAAGAGGTCATCTAATTAACATTAACTAAACAAAGCATATTTCAGTGATTCCAAGTTAAACTTTTCCTCCCATTTCTAGAATCCTAAGGCTTATTTGTCATGCCAACCTGCGACTTTACCTGGCATACTGCCATCTTTAAAGTTATTTTAACTTAAATATTTCCAGTGTGGACTAACAACATGTAAAATGGACCAGACATTTCAATCCTGGACCATTTAGAGTAATGCAAATAATGTCCTCAACTGTGACCTCAGCACCACTACACAGGAGCCATGTGCTCTCTGTTTTCATGTTTTAGGGCTGTCCTGGGAATCCCAGCTACTGAATCATTCCAGAGGACAAATACTAGTTATCATAGTCTATTGCTGTATACATCTGCACCAGTTCCTGAAAACTTTCCCAAGACATACCCCAGATTACATCCAGTTTCTTACTAGCAGATGCACAGAAGAGGAGGAACATGTGGGAACAACTTCCACGAATACTATCACACAAAACTTCCATGAGTACTAAAAGCTGCAGATTTAACATTACGAAGGAGAAAACTGAGCTGAGCTATGGGCATAAAGATGGCTCCCCAATATGCCAACCCCCTCATAACGCCACCGCAAAGAGGAATTATTAGAAAGCTGCACCATCAAAAGTCACCATACAAAAGGTTACCTTTTTATTCGGTGGTCTGAACACCTGGAATTCCCTAAGCATGTCCAATAACTACAACTACCACCCTATTATCAATTTTTCTCTGGAATAATCCTAGGCTAACATCGACCTGCAAGATGCTACAATTATTATTCCAGAATGGCACCCTACAAACCACTATTTACAAAAATCCCAGACCAAAAAGCCCACAGCTCACAGACCTACTTCCACAAAAACAGTAATCATTCCAAACATATCAAGAAAGCAGTTATCTATAGCCAGGTTCCCAAATACATTTCCTCTAAGACTACTTGTGACACCCAACTAAAGACTGCCTTTAACTCAGGAGAGAGACTCCAGCAAAAATATTTTTTTAAACAACCTACCCAAGTACCCGCCCCACACACCTACTACAATACAAATAGTACACCCCACCACTAACTGCATATCCCTAGTTGTCACATGCTATCCCATACCAGTACCTGTAAGAAAGATCAAACAGTTTCAGCTAATACTTGAAGAGGATCAAACGCCAAAAGAAATATTTCTAACCCCTTTCCTTACTCCAACTCCTGACTTTCCAACAACCTGCAAACTTTGCCCAACTCATCATCAGAAGCAAACTCCCTGCTGGCCAACAGACAGCATGCAGACACAACCCTGCCTGAACAGCAAATACAAAATCTGTCAACACATCTCCATTGCTACCATAAGTCAACACATCCCACAATGAAACCATCAGAATCTACAAATCCTGCGTGTCGATCACAGAATGTGGTATTTCTCATGCAATGCATCAAACATCCTCATGGAAGCCATGAGCATCTTTCCAAGGAGAATGTGGCAAGTCCCTTTTCTAGCTCCACCAGTCAAGCATACAGCACTTCTGTCATCACTCTGTATCAATTGATTTGATGACTAGAGTACTGGGATAAAGTAGGGTGGAGATGCACCTTATCGAAATTAGCATCTGATGAAGTAAATTTGGGCTCTCAAGCATCTTGCATTTAGTTAATCTGTAAGGTTCATCTGTACTTTGTGTTCTGCCTGCCTTCAGACTAACAACACTAACTACTTTTCTCTGCTGCTAAAGTACTGAGATACCAATCTGTGCTAAGGAAGTTTTAGATGCAATTTTAGCTACAAATGGTCATGTGCATACACTGTCCCAGCAATAGAACAGAAAAAAAGTTCAACAGCATGAACCTTTCATAGTATCCATGTGAGGACAGTGGGACCAATTAAAAAAATGACAGCTTTTCCCTTGTAGTTTCCTTTTACAAGCACATGGAATAAATATTATCGAGATTTCAAAAGAGAGCTGCATCCAGCTGATACAATAAAGCGTTCTTGAAAGAGGGATTGAAGACAGAGGAAAAACTGAACAAGAATAGTAGCCTTTGAGTATTATACAAGCCCACAAAATAGATAATATAATATAGATTTTATTGACTTAGAAAACGGCAAGGGTTTTTTTCTGTTTTTAAATATAATTCACATTTGTTTGCAGTAAGAAAGTTCCATATTAAGTCCAACAAAGCAGGAATTGAAGAAAGTATTTTCAGAATCCTAAGGAACACCCCCCCCACACAATTCTAGAAGTCTAATCAAAGAAAGTACAAGTTTGACATAATGCTTACATTTATTTACAAGCTTAAATGTTTTATACACCTCAATTTACAGAAAAGGAACCCAGTATTACATTTTGTAGCAATTTATGGTGAAAAAACAATGTGCAGGATTAAAACAAACATTTTATTATTCCAAAAATAAAAGCCAAATATGCTGTATTTGTATGTTTTTGAAGGCATGTTTCTGAAATACAAAAAAGTTTGTAATTAGCCAACCTCATAGCTTGGTGTACTGTTTTGCAGTATTTTGAAATTCTTCCACGTTGCACTGGGATATCATGGTATTAAAAGTGACTGAATGAAAAACAACATAGCAAACAAGAAATGAATTGTACTCTAGCATTAGCTTGGGAAAAAAAAGGAAAATGTATTCTCAACCCATAAAAAAAAAAATTGTGCTATAGCTGTTATATTGTCAAAAAAGATCTTAAAACCCTGTGTTAATTCTAGGTTAGATTTCGTTACCAGTTTTCACATTTATTAACACAAACTACCTTCACCTTTACTATTAATACTCTAATGAAGGCCATGTCTTTACAAATAGAAAAAGGGGATGGTAAAAATTTTCTGCATTTGATTTTTATTTTTTTTTAGGAAAACTGACATTAGTGTTCATTAGAACTGGGAGAAATGAGATTGTTGTTTAATGCAGCTAGCAACCATTTTCACTTTATTGTAACTTAGTTCTAACTAATGGTTGCTTGCAGACTTCTTATGGTTCTAGGATTTTCATGAAAGTGCACGAGTTAAAAATAAAACAACTGGACTTTCCTTACTTTTATTAAAGTAACAGGGAATGTTGAAAGGAAGAAATCACTTGAAGCACTCTCTGGACAACCACTTTTTGCCGAGTAATAACTGTCCTTTTTGAAGAAATCCTTCACTGGATTATCAAAGGCCATACACAATAGTCGTAAAAACCAATGCAGTTGTATACCCAACAACATAAAAGCACTGCCAACAAATCATACCAACTAAGACATTAATAAAACATTAGCAATTCTTGTCAGCAGCATATCAGATGTCATAGAACAGTATTTTCCTAGCCCTGGCAGAATTTTGTTAGGATGAATGGTACTTTTTACATGGTCTAAAAGTTTTAGACAGGCATGTTTTGCCCACAAACAGAGCCAATTTCTTTTTTCTTTTGACTAGCCATGTGTAGGTATATGTTAAAATTTTAAGAGCAGTGGAAGTACAACTGCTAACAGCTTATCATCTGTTTTGGAGCCCTCACAATTCCTTGTAGTATAAATGCATGATGTATCCCCTTTACATATTGTTTTACTGTCCCTCAGAAACAAAGGCAGTGGCTTTTTAAAACTGCACTTTGCTGTTAGTGAATGTAAAAATGTCATTACTCTGATTAAGGTTACTATTATTTTACATGGATAACTCTTTTAGCACTTATGAGCTCACATTATGAAAAACTTCATGCTGTACATATTAAGATGTCACCACTTCAGATCTACATATAGCAGCATAATAATAATAATAAAAATGCATTTTGGACAGTATTCTCCCTCCCTCCCTTTTTTAATCTTTAATATTTGTTTGAGGTTTCCAACAAGCAGGATTCACCCTGAGATTTTATATTTCTGACCTTTTCTTCCAGTGGGAACTTGTTTTATTCCTCCTGTCTCATTCTGAGACAATAAAAATTAAGTAACTGTAACCAAAAAGCTGAAAGACAATGTTTAATAACCTTAAGAAAATGTCATTAATACAATACACACATCAGAAACAAAAAAGCTACGCCGCATAAGGAGACTACGGCATTCTTAGAGGTTCATTTTTCGAAGTATCAGTTTTGAAGAAGTTGTCATCTCATTTTAGTTTTTTCCCCTCTAGAACCACATGGATTTCTCTGGCATCCAAAGTCTCATATGTCAATAAGGCTTCTGCTAAATTCTTGTGCTCTTTTGCATGCGTCTTCAGGATGTTCTTTGCCCGTTCATATGAATCCTAAATAATAAAAACCCAAAACCTTAAAAATTCATAACAAAAACAGCATATTTAAAAAGCTAGAGTCCTCAATTGGTACAATTAGACATAAGTACAGAACACATTTCCGAGATTTACTTACAGCAAAGACTTATTTAACTGAATCATTTTGTGTATGATTAGCCCCAGAGATTTCAGAGGGTTTACTCTCATATTAATCTTTACACCCATGTTAATACCCTTGCAGACATGGGGCTTGCGGCTTGGATGAGGAAGTAATTCTGCAGGTCTGTATGTACTATTTAAAAAAAACCAAACAAACCTTTAATAAATTTGGAAAAATTAGCTGGTTAAACAGTCTTTTCCTCAATGAAGGTTTCTGTACAAGTCAAGCTGTAAACTCAGCTCTGTTAGACTGCACAGACAAAAATTATAACCCACTTCACAATTCTGAATATTGCTGTAGCTCACAAGAAGCACCCCAGCCACAAAACATTAAAAAAAGAAAACTGACAAATTAATGCAGAATTCACTTTTAGGCAATTCTTTTCTAAACAGTTATCCCGAACAGCAGCTTTGCTAGAGTTATCTGAAAAGCTTATCACTGCTACCATGTCTAAGCTTAAAAACAGCCACAAGAATCTGGGATGATGTTAAATAAACCAGCACTTCATAAATATCAGTACTGTTAACAGTTTAAATGTAGTTAGATACAAGTGATTATTCCTTAAAATACTTCTCAAATGCCTACTGTAAAAGCGGTAAACCAAACAAAACACTCCACAAAACCATGAGTGTAGTATTCTAAATGAACTCTTTCCTATAACTGCTGGAATTACTGAGATTCATATGAAAATGCTTAGGTGAAAGCTATGAACTACTGTATTTACTTGAATATAAGATGACCATGAATACAAGACCCCATATATGGAAAATTTATAAATTTGTTACAATTTTCCAGGTACATAATCTAAGTATTAGAGGGTTGTCTCAATTCCTATCCAGCCCCCACTATTAAAGCAGGGAAATCAGTGGCAGGAGTGGGGGGGTTAGGTGGCCCCCTTGCCCTCTTGTCCCACCCACTTCTTCCCCCTGAAGCCCGGCTGCCCCCCCCCCACAGCCTCTGCCCCTTCCCCCACTTCCTCCCAGTCTCTGCCTCTACCCTCCCTGCCCCTTACTCTTAGATGCTTCTCAAGCTAGGAGCCTGGAACACAGCTCATGGAAGCTTAGCTCTTGGCTGGCCATGTAGCTGTGTCGGCGCTGCCGAGTGACCAGGCAGGCAATGCAGCACTGTCAGTTCTGTTCACTGGAGGAACAGGGGAAAGTTTTCATGTTCTCTATGCCCAGGAGAGACCTCAGCTGGAGCCGGAGCCAAGCTATGCTTGACAGTAAGGGGGAGCATGAGAAATTGCAGAGGGGAAGCAGAATAAGGGGCAGGAGGCCGCTGTGCATCTGCAGCAGCAGCCTGCTCCCCACTCCACTTCACATACGAATGTAAGACAAGGGGCTTTTTCCCCCCATGCTGATTGGCAGGGCAGGAAACCTTGTCTTACAGCTGAGTAAATGCAGTAGCATGAAAATGACAAAACAATCCCTCCTGTGATCTAAAATAGCGCCATGGTATTTAGTGAAGCTACCACATTAATTTACCATAAGGTGGACAGTTAACACAACTCCCTTGTAAATGCAGTTATGTAAATAATGAATACATCCAGAGTTTGGATAACCTAGCCAACCTGCTCTACCCATCTTCATTATAAACCAAATACTATTAACAACTGTTCAAAGGGATTAAATGTGAAGAGATGGTTTCATATTCAATACAGGTGCAATTTTAAGAACATTTTTATCCACTGGATCATGCACTATTCTGTACTTTGTAAAGTAATGCATATCATTAAGTTATATATTAACCTATTTGGTTGTTCAGCCCCTCTTACATGTGGTAAGTAAATATAGACAACACACAACTCTTACTCTTAAAAGTGTTCTTACTTCCTCTTCAACTGCAGACTGGGTTTCTGGACTAAGTCTCCTTGCATCAGTGTAGGTCATGACACCAAGCTAAACAAAAAATTGGTCACCAGAAACAAAAATATTATCCATTTCAGTAAAACACTGGTGCTATTCAGAGCATAGTATGAAATATGCACCCCTGCCCAAGATATACATAAATAAACCTGGTAAATAAGAAAAATATACAAGTCCTTTTTTGATGGACCTGGTAAAAATCCACAAGTCAAAGGCATGAACTATGCCTATAACTATAATCACTGAAGGATTATATTTCACACAGACAATCTAGTCTTCATTAATAGTACCTTCTAGTTGGGTTTGGCATTTTACTGTTTTTCACCACATTTTTTCAACTATTTATGCCAGTCTGTCTGAAAAACAGATTTCTCTCCAATATACCTTCAAAATGCTACCAAAGACTAAAATTTATCTTCAACTTTTGAAGCACTGGGTCTTTACTGCAAAATTTTCAATAAGGATTAGCAAGGTTTCTGATAGAAATCTGCTTAATATATAGATTTCTAATCTACAAAATATTCTGAACCCAACAAGAAAGCCAACTTTATATTCTGTCAGAGTTGGAACTTTTAAACCAGTCATTAACTTCAATTTTTACCATCAGTTAGCAGACTGTTCTGATTTCTATGGAGCCTGATCTTTCACAATTTTGTTTTTGCACAATTTCAATAACCCTGTACAATTAATTGAACAATTTTACCTTCTCACTCATTCCAAATCTAGTCACCATCATGTGTGCTATTTTAGTAGCGTTGTCAAAGTCACTAGAAGCACCTAGATATTAAACACATACAAAGTGAAGTTAGTGTTAACAAAACCAAAAGTTACATAAAAAACCTTAATATCCATTGACAGCAGATTCTTTAGACACAGATCTCTACTTGCCTGTTGTGATGTGGTCACTTCCAAATATGAGTTCTTCTGCTACCCTCCCTCCCATACTAACATCCATCTGTGCAAGCAGTTGGGATTTAGTTTCACTCCATCCATCATGATCTGGTAGTAAAGACACCTATAATGTGTAAAATTAAGGTCACTTACAGTACACGGAAAAAGATTGTGATCAAAGTCTGCAAATACTATGGGTTAGAGATTTACTCTGTTGGGATTGTTCTGACTAGTCCAAAGTATGCAAGTATCACAAGTATTTGATCATTCCCAGAGTCCCACATTACTACTGCAATGGTCCCTCCTGCCAAAGGAAGTGTAACTGGGATGCTGCTGGATCAGCCTTCTAAGATCAAAAACTGGAATTTAAATAGAATAGCTAAGAGTTGACATATCTGAAGTCAACAACCAAGGCCAGGTTCAAACTTCAAAGAAATTCACTTCCATCCTGTTCCCTGCATTTGCACACTGAGCACAGGTCAGCTTGTCCAGAGGATCCTGATCAGTCACAACTGATTAAACACACTAAATTGAATGGATATTTAAAACACAACAGGGAACATACCCTTTCTATTCAAGTATCATTGCTCTATGAGATTTTTTAAGGAACAGGATGGAAATAGTAAAGGGATAAGGTCTGTCCTAAAACCAATACAAAGGACTAAACAGCAACACCTTTTAGACAAAATACCCTTGAAAAAACATGGGGTTTAATAGACTTCCTATGAAGAGGTGTGCTTTATGGATGTTTTTCCCCCCTAGCCACTGTAAGAGCTTTGCCCTTGGCTACTATGTTATCTGAAATAATCCAGGAAGCCACCAGCATATAAGATTCATTCCTTGCCAGCTTCAACCACTACCAATTGTTAGCAGGCCTGAAGTTAAAGGCAGCATTTCTCTAACTGTAGGAAATGAGAACACCAAGCCAGAAGAAGCAACAGAGACTATTTCTCTCTTTGTGTGTCTTTTTAGTAGATGAGTGTTAGCTTAGAGTAGTTCTGTAGCACTAAGACATGTTTTAGCACAGGGGTGGGCAAAATACAGTACACAGGCCAAACTTGGCCTGCCAAGGGATTCTATCTGGCCCTCAACCACACCTGGTGCAGGCACAGGGGACAGCCCAGGCCATGGTGTATGCAGCCAGTCCCACCACCCCTGGATGCATGGGCGAGGGAGGGAAGAGGCACAGCAGCTGGACTCAGCTTCCCAGTAGTCCCTTGTCTGGCTGCTCCTGCCAGTGTCTCTGCTGCCAAACCTGGTCCCACTGCCCTGTACCCGCTGCTGGTGGTGCCAGATGGAGTGGGCAGATGGGTGGGGTCTCCATGGAGACCAGCCTGGGACCCATGTTAGTAGGGCATATGTGGCTGGGCAGATGGGATGAGGCTGCTGACAGGTGAGGAGTTGCATCCAGGAGCAGGATGGACAAGCAGGACCAGGATTATGGGGGTAGTGACAGCACATGACCAGAGCCAGGGCCAGGGCTGAGCTGTGATCTTACTCCCCACATCTCCTTGCCTGCAGAACAAGCACCCATTGCAGGGATGAGCAGGGAACAGATTGCAGCTCTGCCCTGGGTCACCAGCCCTGTGCTGTCACCACCTCATGATCCTGGCCCCAGGATAGGATCAATTGTGCTCCCCGCCCCTCCAACAACTCATCTAAACTCCTTAAGTAGCCCTCCAGCCCAAATAAATTGCCCACTCCTGCTTTAGTGGCACTGCATTGGTGAGAAACTTCTTGACAATTAAAAAAAGGTTAACTAAACATATCCTAAATCTAGTTTTAAAAATCCTTACATGTCCCAGAGTTGGTCCTCGTGCCATGATTGTAGCTTTGTTGATTGGCATTGCATCTTTGGTATAGTATGCAACAATAGCATGACCCGATTCATGATATGCTGTGATTGTTTTGTTTCTGTCGTCAATTTTCACACTTTTACGTTCAGGTCCTAATTACAATAGGGAAATGAGATTAATGAAACTGCACAATAAGAAACAACCGTATCACACAAATAAGTTTTGACAAAAAAAAGCACAGATGTAAATTTTGTACAAATGAGTCACCCTTAATTCTTCTCTCTGAAAGCCTGAAACATATAATTAACCTCACCATTCTGGTCCTAAAGTTTCAGCTCTTCTAGCTATACCTGGGTGAAGTCGAGCACGGTTAAACACTATTCTATTGTTCTGGGGCTCTAATTTGGAGTTCGTAAAAGATTATTGCAGTAGATTGGGAACATGTTCATTTCAGTTTCCTTCCACCAACATACTGAATACAATTATTTAATTAATTGCCTTTTAAAGCCATTAGCTTTAATGGCAAGTATCTAAATTACTTATATGACCTGCTGTCAAATATCAGGAAAGCTACTAATTTGAAAAACTGTCATGGCAACTATTAGCTTTGATCCTAACTAGTACCGGTTTCCTAATTACTATCAAGAGCTTCATTTAGGTTTACATTTTAAAGTAGCTTTTTTCTAGCATGCTCATCACAGTGGTTCCCTGATTCCAACATAAAGCATCAAATCTAACTGAGAAGCAAATAGCTGAAACTCTGATACATGTTGCAATAGTCATAAAATAATCAAATACAAACACCAAAGTAATACAGTATGCAAAAAAAAATTTTTATTTATACACACACACACACACACACACACACACACACATATACACACACACACACACATTCAAACACACATGTGTGTATATTATATATAGAACAGATATGTAATATTTGTATGATATCTCTATATATAGAGTATCCATCTATCTATATACAAGTACCTGTCTCTCTCTATCATACACACACCAATATTTTTTATGTATTTATTTTATATAACATTACACACACACAAACGTGTATTTATAAAATATAATTTTGCACACTGTATTACTTTGGTTTGTATTTGATTATTTTATGATAGATATGAAACCCACATATACCTCTTCCACATGTAACAGCTTACCCATTGAAAAAGCTTACCCATGAGAATTTTGTCTTTTGAGAATTCTAGTTCCTTCATGGTTACCATATCTTTCCCATCAATAGCTGCCTTTAATGCAGCTTGGTTGACAAGATTTTCAAGCTCAGCTCCTGTAAATCCAACAGTACCTCGTGCAATTATTTCTGGATCAATAGCTGTGTGAAAAAGAAAAAAAATACAAGAGAATTAATACCACCTGTTACTTCTCCACACTTATTTAACTGCTTATTGAAAAAAATACTATAAGCGTGTAATCATTTATTGACAGCATGCAGTTTATATTCGAATATCCAGCTATTGTAATTATTATACAAGTTCTAAGAGAGAAGAATACTCATGTTTCAGGGATTATGCACATCTTTAACTACTGGATAGTAAAATGAGACTTTGCCAGCTAAGGATGCCCCATAATTGTCTACTACAGTGTTCTCAAACTTTTCTCTGATACTGATATCTGATGCTGGCAGAGATCAGGAGATCTACCACAGGTATGATCCAGAACAGCAATTCTTAATGGCAAAGTTCTTACCCCACAGAGGTTAAGAATTTATACTTACACTGATCATACTTTATTTTGCTAAGGTACCATTTCAGGATTTCTGTTCTACCTCTTACATCTGGCCTGGGGACTGTAACTTGCATGTCAAAGCGGCCAGGACGTATTAAGGCACTAGAAAAAGGGAAAAAAAAAACAAAAAAAAACACTTTGTAAATAAGATTTGCTTTAAAATCTGGAGATTAGTGTTACTAGCAGACAGGTTTCTTGCTGTAACACACTTTTCTTAATAAAAAAAAGACATTTGTAAAGACTACTTTCCTACACAAAAACCCCAAACCGTGCATCTTGCCACTTATCTGTATGCTGATGACAAAGATGGTGTAGGTATTTAGTGCTAGTTAATGTTAACAAAAAAGTCTATTAACCTAGAAAGAACATACAGTAATACTATTAATTTCATTACTGCTGAAATGCATAACCAAACAAAGGCTGATTCATCACCCACTCTCAATTCAGTGCAAGAGATTGAGCACTCAAGCCACCACTGATTAATTATTAATACTGATTTGGAGGGGTGGGCAGAGGAAGCTTTTAAAATGTTAAAAACTGCTCAGAGGCAGGGGGGTGGGCAGAGGAAGCTTTTAAAACGTTAAAAATTGCTCAGCACCTAGTTTTCTTCCAGAAAATGACTTCAATATTGTTTACAGTGATATTTATGTTTTACAAAACTATTTAATTACTTAGGCATTCCCTACTCCAGTTTTATTTTTTGATTTTTTAATACATCGTGCTTAAGTTATTTGGAAACTGTACTTACTTATCTAATGCTTCTGCGAAGTTTGTTGCTCCAATGATAATAACGCCTTCATTAGGTTTAAAGCTTTAAAGAGAAAGCTTAAAATGAACATTTGTTTACAAAACTAGCACAAGGATTTTCCTTACAATTGTTATTTCATTAAAGACCAAACAGTTGACAACTTGTTACCCAATTTATTATTTCTGCCTCTTCTTGGACTGGCTGCTGCTGATTGGCTAGCCATGTTTCCTTGTCTGAACACAAAGTGTGGGACAAATATAGCTATACAAACCCAATAAGCAGCTAAAACATGCCCCTCCTCATGCTTCAAAACATAGCTATAGAGGCTACCAGTTGCTAGAGCCTACCATTATTAACTGATCCAGGGGGTGGAGGGGGAGGTGGCTCCCACTACTGTGTGGGCCATTGGGGCGGGGGGGCACGCAGCAGATCTGCACAGGATGGGATACCGCTGCAGGCTGGGATCAGGGCTGCACTGGGCTTTTCCCAGTGCATGAGAGCTGTGCTCGAGGCTGTACTTGGAGCAGGCGGCGGTCCTGGGCAGGGTGCGGCGCACTCTGATAATGTTTCGGAGACAAATTCTAATTTTTCATAAAATTTATTCCTAATGTCTTTGTTTTTATCCTATGTAGGGGCATGGATACTGACTGAGTGGATATCAAACCATCTTCCTCATAACTGCAGATGTGGTAGTCTTTTGTCTATAAACTCTACCTTTTTGATTGAACTGAGGTATATGCTCCTTACTATAAACCCTGTGCCCAATTGACAGGTATCTGTTCTACAACAGAAAAGTGTATTATTTCCAAGCCTAACGTATCTGCATCCAAGCCAAGACATCTTCTTAGATAGTGATGATGTTCATTTTATACTGTTCCACCACTGCTAACAGAAACTTTAAAAACCTCCAGGCATATATAAACTTCTAACAGTCCAAGTTCTAAATTTCATATTTGTCCAAGGCTTTACACACTTTTGGTTTCATAGAGGGGGGCAGGGGGGAGAAGAGACTCCTACGATTTTCACTGCAACTCTTATCTGAACTCTGTCTCTGAAGCACCAAACTGTTTTGTTAGCTGGGCCTTTCCAAATGACTAGATGGAGCAGGGTTTCCTGGGTCAGGTAGGAAACTAAAATACATACCAACACGCCACAAAACAGGTATTAGGCTGTCCACAAAGGCAACATGCAGATAGTGAGCTCGCTACAACTCTCTACAGTAAAGGCTTTGTTTTCCAGCCCCCATGGAGAATGGGGGGTGCCAGATAACAAAATGTGCCGGTTAACTGAGCAGCCCAAACAGGCGTCTTTGCCTGTTCAGGTTGCCACTTCTCCTGCCACATCTGGGGTGTCACCGCCCCTCCTGCGGGCCCTGAGGGACAGGGAAGCAGGCCCCGCACAGCCCACTATGCCCTGGGCTGTGGGGGCTCAGCAGTGCAGGCTGCTTTGCCCCAGGCCGTGGGGGCTTGGAGAAACTGAAAGTGCCACGATGGGCACTTCTGGTTTCACTTTACCTTACAAGCTGGCATGCCAGTTAATAGAATGTGCCGGCTTGTAAGGTGCTGGTTAATGGAGCTTTTACTGTACTTATAGCGAGAGGGGCACATTAAGATTCTTTAGTTCGGGGACTGGCAATCCACAACCTCTTGTTGGATGGGTCCAATCTAAAACGACTAGATCCAGGTGGCAGAAGCTTTGGGAATCAGCAGCATGCTCCAGGTGAGAAAGCAAAAGGTATCCCCAAGGAACTACTGATGCCCTATTCAGTTTATTTCCTCCCCACCACTGGGGCAATAATGAAGGCATCCCTGGGGTCCTATCACATTTCATATTCCAGCCTCAGCAACTGCTGCTGGTTGGGGGAAGGCAGAATTGTGGCCTGCAGTGGCAAAAGTATATCAATTCCTGCTTCGGTTTCACCAAAGAACAGTGTCCCTGATTATTAAGGTCTGTACCACAGCACAGAAAAAAACCCTATGCACATAGGTATGAAGCAGTCTTGGATTTACTAAGCAACTGCGCCTTGGCACAAGATAGAAGGAATTGTTCATACCTGTGAACAGTAAACAGTATTTCAAGCCAGTGTAAAGCCAGACCCAAATCACTTTTCATTTACACTCGCCCTTTAGAATAGCAAGCAAGATGTCCTCCCAGGATCCCCCTGAAATGAAATTTTATCTGCTTTGCCACAAACTGGTGTCCTTCTCCATATCCTACCACCAGTCCCTCTGCTTCTGACTACTAATATAACAATGTTAGTACATTTCTTGTCAAACATTATTTGCTGAATGTTGTTGTTTTTCATTCAAACATTAAGGCTGGTGAGGTACTTTAGCTTTACAAGACAGGGTTGCTCATTCATGTGTTATAGGATATCAATCAAATAACTAATGATCAAAAAAGGAAAAATATTTACCCATCCATTTCAGCAAGAAGCTGATTTATGGTCTGCCTGGAGTAGGGATGCATTGCAGATTCAGTTCTCTTTCCACCAACAGAATCCAACTCATCAATAAATATAACACAAGGTGCATTTCCTTTTGCCTCCTCTGATAACATAAACATATTTTTTAAGGTTATTTGAAATCAATCTGTTCCAACCATGCAAGTTATACGCAACATCTACTACGAAGATTTTAAAATTCATATACTGCTCCAAAGAGGTGTCAGGGGTCACCAAAAGAGAGCCAGGTTAACCAGGTCCCTCTAGCTGCCACTGAGTTCAAGACTTTGGATCCTCAAACTCCATATACATCTGCAGCAGCTACAGCAGATGGGATGGATGGGTTAACATGGCTCCTGATGGTGACACCTCTCTTGCAACAACTCTTCCATGGCTCTGCCCTCCTTTGTCTTCCCTGGGTCTTCACTCTGTTCTGCGTGGCCACAAGCTAAAGTCCCTCTGCCTCCACTCCAGGACCCAAACCCCTGTCAGTTGGGGTTGGGATCAGTGGCATTCAGGGAGGATGAGGGCTGAACTTGTACCATGCCAGCCAAAACAAGTGGCCACCACTGCTTTCAAGAATCACATTCAGGGACTACTGATGAGGAAAGGGAAAGAAATTTTGAAATGGCAGCCACAGAACTGGCCTTGTCTTAAATTTTAAAGGGCTTGCTCATATTTTCCTCATCAAGAGTTTCCTCTTAACATAAAATACATAATAAAAGGCTTCAAAAACAGAAACAAAAAGGAGTAAGTGATAGAAAAACTTCTTTTTCAGGATCTCCTAGGACCTGAATCACAGAAGAACATTTCTATTAAACTTAGATTTTTGTGTTTTCAGAGCTTTAGTTTTTATGAATATTTAGACTATTAATTCAGACGAGAATACCTTAAAATAAGAAAACTTCAATTCATGAGGTAGAGACCGAATATTATAGAAGTAGAATCTAACCCAATTATAATTATGAACCGAAAGGGATATCAACTTGAGATCTACATTTTTTAAAAAGTGAGTTTCAAGAGCTGTACTTGCTCTTAAGTCCTTTACATTTAGTTTTGTGGATTTCCCATTATCCCATTATTTTTATGCATTTCTTTTATCTTGGTGCTTGAAAGAAAAAAAAAAAAGAGGAGGAAACCAATTAATCCCATGGCGCTCAATGTTTTGTCTCTGTGCGCCAGGATTGAGCACCATGCCACCCTGTGCACCCAATCTAACATGACCACAGTCCATGGGGCTCTCCACAAATCTGTAGGGAGCCCCACAGGCCAGGTAACATGGCTCCAGGGGATGGATCTGACCCATGAGCTAAGGGTTTAAGCACCCTGAACTAACACAAAGAAACAGTAAGTCTGACTATACACAGTCTTATCCAATTTGGGTTGACTATATATTGTGCTAGCATTCATAACCTGCCAGATACTATAACAGGAAACCAAGAGAAAGATACTACAAAGAAGCATCTGTAACTAAGGAAGGAGAGGGGCCAGGTCCGTCTCAGGAGCTGAAGAGTATGCAAAAATAATAATGGCTGCTGCTGCCACCACCCAGTCATGCTAGTGCTGATGACAGCCAGCACTGCCCTGTGGATTTTTTCTGCCGAGTGTAGCACTGCCCTCTTTCCCACTGTATTGAGTTGAGAAAGAAAAACAGAAGGTGAAAAAAGGCAATATATACAACAAGCAAAATGGCCATGGCAAAGGACTATTTAAGTTCTCTTTACATTGTGCATTTTTTTTTCCTTTAGAACTGGAAAGGCATATTTGGTTTCCTAGATCACTAGGGTTAGTAATAATGTTAGTTGTACCATGAAACAGCAGCTAAATCATTTTCTTAACATGCAGCCCACAACAGACTGAAGCATTAAATAACTTACTGAAACAATCTTGCAATTGTTAGAATTTGTTTAAATTAGAGTCAGCCATTAAAAACCATAGGTTCCTGCACTATCAGTAGCTATGCATGAGGCATGCTACTTTCTTTTTCATTTCAAAATCATATTAGACCTCATAAGACACTGCAATTGGTAAATTTTACTAAACGCCACATATTTAACTTACTAAACAGACTTCGGATACGACCAGCTCCTATACCAACAAACATCTCATCAAACTCCGACCCAGAAGCATAATAGAATGGAACATTAGCTTCACCAGCCACAGCTCGGGCAAGAAGAGTCTTGCCTGTACCAGGTGGGCCAACTAAAAGAATACCTGGAAAGAAAGAAAAGCATACTTGCATTAATACAGTTCCAGTCTTTAAAAACAACAAAAACTTTACACCTTGCTTTAATGCAATGTTTATACTCTATTTGAAACCCATTTGCACCCTGATTTCATCATGATTGTTGCACAAAAGGATGCTATTTTGAATATTTATTTATTTATTTATGCTTTGATCCTTATTTGAAACATGAAAGCATGAGGGAAGGCTGGGCAACAGAAAAGTTATTTCAAGAGTTAAATATCTTAACAGAAGCTAACATTCAAGAAATGAGGCACACCGTTCTAGCTCACCGAATGACTGATTTCAATTTTTTAAATTACCCTACAAACTTCCTTCTTCAGACAAAACACAATACTTTTTTAAACATATTAAAATGCTCTTATTAGCACAGGTGGGTTTTAGATTAAGTTTATGATGTTATAGCCTTCAGTGAGATCAAGCACCTTTGATATAATTAAAAGTTTTGGTCACAAGTAGTTATAAGCTATTGGCAAAGACGTATATTGGCCATACCTAATATCAGTGTTTAAACCTCAAGAACACTGTGGAGCCAGTGTAGGAAAAGAGGACCGTGCTCACTGCTGCAGCTGTCTCCAGCTGAGCCTAGCACTCAGTCCAGGTGCTACCCACAACCCCCAGGGTCAGCTGGAAGGTGACCCCTTAACTATCCCCCACACTTTGGACAGTAACATAACAAGGGGTGGACAATCGCAACATATCAAGGCGGTAACAATGGGGGGGGGGGGGGGGGGGGGGGGGCACCAGAACGATGGCAAGGGACTGAGCAGCTCTGACTGGGCAGACCAGAGTCAGAAATCCCCTCATAATTCTGCTCCTTCTCCTCAGCTACTACCTTAGCCCTTCACAGTCATGCCATATTAAAGCTTTTGAAGCCATGATCTATAGGCAAGTAAAACAGCATATAACCCTTCTCTATCATTCTCATCTCCATACCCCTTCTGTGATCAGGACACAGAAATAGCTAGCTATACCTCTGTCCCATCCCTGGTTATCCCTCACTAGTCCACAGGCTCTAGTTGTGCATCACCATCATCCTCCCATTGCCTGAGGTCAGCTCTTACAGCATGGACTCTAAAGAGGATTGAGGTATCTGCAGCAGTGGGGGACCGGAGCTGCCTGTATGTTTTTCAGCTTCAGCCTGAACACCATGCAGCACCTGGTGGAACAGCTCAAGCTGGAGGCAGTCATGGTGTGGATCAAGATAAGGGAAGCAGGGGGGCACAGGAAGTCAGGAGTTTGCAGCCACCCCACAAGCATGTAGATCCACCACCTATGCATGTATATCTACTCATATCAATCTCTTGTTCAAACACAATAAGCAGAAGGAGTAGTACTGAGGATTGAAGGCCACTTTCAGATTTACTTCAACAGTTCAGCTGGAAATTGATCCTTTTTAACCGCAAGGATATCATCACACAGTTAAACAATTTAAATTTTTTTTTAGATTAGCACCACAGTACAATACCATTGGGACAGTTACTGTTATGAATGATCAGTATTTCCAATTTGGAGAAGATTCTTACCTTTTGGAAGTTTACCTCCTAATACAGTAAATTTCTGTGGATTTTTCAAGAATTCCACAACTTCCTGCAACTCTTGTTTGGCTTCGTCCACCTGCACATTTGAAATATGCCAAGAAATGTCACAGAACACTAATATCAAACAGAGCTATTTTTTCATAGTGTCAAAGCTCATCTATAACTGTTTGTAAATTATATTAGGAAACTGAACAGACAAATTTAAACCCAGAGAAGAAATGTGCTGGAAAAGGGAATCACTACACTGGACTAACAAAACATATTATATGGAGTTGTTCTGTATAGGCCTATACCCTAATTTTGCCCAAGGGAGCAAAAAGTTAACCCTACTCTCTAACCTAAGGTTGTTTATAAATGTCAGCTTTAAAAAAAAAAAAAAACCCCACAAAAAAAAAACAAAAAACAAACAAAAAAAAAAAAAAACCCCACCACACACAAAAACTGAAGTAGTGCAAACAAAAAGATCTGCTGATACAACCATGTAGGCTACATCATCCTGTTAAAAGGAGATGAGCATGGATTTGGAGGGAAAAACCCCACAAACAAGTAATGTTTAAAAATTATAGTAAATAGACCTAACTTTTGGCTCACTACAGAATTATAAAACAACACAACAAAAAAAACCAAACCATTATTCCTTCTTGGAGGTCTTAATTTCACATTGACACCAGAACAATAGATGGACAAAAGAAGAAAGATTTATCACCACTGCCTCTGGGACTTAATTACCTATAGCAGGGTTGGGCAAAACGTGGCCTGCCAGGCTATTCTATCTGGCCTGCGGGGCCCCTAAAAAATTTAGAAAGTTAATATATTATCTGCCCCTGGCTGCCTGTCACGCAGCCCTCGATGGCTTGCCAAAACTCAGTAAGCGGCCCTCCACCCGAAATAATTGCCCACCCCTGATCTACAGCAACACTGGTGGATCTTCACTGCCCTAAGCCTAAGAGGTAGCCTGACCACACCAAGTCACAAAGACAAACCCAGTTGATATCACCTGACCCAGCTTCAACTAAGTGCTGAAAAGCACCTGGATACCGAGACTTACGTCTCTTTCTTCTTCTCAATATAATTTCTGTCTTGATCTTCTGTTAATAAGCTTGATTTAACCTGCCCAGATATCATCACTTTGTGAGCTTTGGACCAGGAAGTTAGCTAAAAGCAGTGTCCTAAAGTGCCTGAGAGTGGTACAAATTTTGCAGGCTGGTAAGTCATTATCTTGGGCCAGACTGCAATATTATTGGTAGAGAAAAAAAGACTTTGCGCCAGAGAGAGAGAGAAGTTGCATCTAGCTTTGTTGTTCTTTTTCTCCTCCATTCTGTGCCCTAGTCTTCAAGACATCAGAAACAGACCTAGAGAGAAATTCTTTGCTTTTCTTCAAAGACAAGACCTTTACTGGTGAATCTTGATCACTGGGATATCCAGTCCACAGATTACAAACACCTGACTACCAACACAAGGGCCAGAAGAACCACACAGTTCTGATATGTGCAAGATCCTGCTTTGTATTCCCCTCCCCTTATGTCTTTTTATGTCCCTGGTTCCACTATCTTCCCTCCATCCTTCCTTCCTCAGGTGTTTACCAAATCAAAGGCACAGCACAGGCAGCACAGCAACATGAGATGGGTCATGCAGCTTTGTCCAGCCTAAGGATGATCAATGAAGGAAAGAGTCCTGACCAGACCAAGAAATGTCAACCCAAACCAGGAAAGCAAGCAACAGTCCAGAGCAACAGTTGTCATGGCTGACCTACTTGTCCATTTCTGACCAATATTATTTTGCTGAGAAGATCAGAAGATTTATTTCCCTAAATTTTTATCGTCTCAGCACTTCTCCCCCTTTTGATAGCTGGCTTTAAAAGGAGGAAAGTGAGCACTGGTCTCACAACAAAATCTGAAATTCAACAAAAGAAGACAGTCTCCACAGCGAAAACCCCAAACTGTTTAACTGTTTCTTGCCATGCAGTGAGACATATTAAAACATAAATTTTGGTCAGTTCAATTTCTTGACATTAACAGAGTATATCCCCAATATCTGAAAAGGAAACATAAACATTACCCATATAGTAAGGAATTAAAGCAACAGATATCAAATGAAATATAAATTAAATCCTATGTCAAAGTGGTACTTTACTGAAACTCAAACCATGGTACTTTTGCATGGAATTGTCGCAACTATTTATTTCAGAGAAATCAAAATCACTTCTGCAGTCAGAGCACAACAGGGATTTAAAGGGCAGGAAAACTGCTACCTCTTGAATTTGTTTCCACCAGGAAACAAAGGGAACTAAAGAGAAACATTCAGACTTCCTAGCACTTGCTATTGGACATGTCCAAGGGCAATACTAGCTTGGTAGAAACAATACTGCCTGTAAGCATTTACTGCCAACATATAGCAATGATTGTAGATCCAAACACAATCTAGCACAGGTTGACTGAAACACACATTTTATGTCTATTAGAATTTATTAACGTTTATTCATAGATGGGGAGTCAATAATATTCTGACCCAAGGAAGAAAAAACCCATTTTATGGTCTGGTTCCCCCTATTCTGTGATTAAAAAAAAATAATAGTAATTAAAAAAAAAAATAGCTGGTAGATACTTATCTGGACTTAAAAGTTTTACTGGTTCTCTGCTACAGACTGAACAATTGGGGAATACCAGCCTAGTTTTCTTTCGAAGTGTGGTTTTCTTATTTTTCATTTTTTATTAGGATTTCATTTAATCCAAACTACAAATTTAGATCTTAAAAACCATTTAAAGCAAAAGGCAACTGCTTCTGCATATACTTAGATAAACCCAATATTTTTCCATGTCAATCCTGATTTGGCAAACAAATAGTTAACAGAAAGCTAACGGTTGAGCTTACCCCTTTTACATGTTCAAAGGTGACATTTTTCACTTGACTTGGATCAATTGCTGTATCAAGTCCCGATGTTGTCCGAAAGCCTACGACTGGAGAACCACAAAGATTTGTCAATTTATATAACAGGTCTAATTTCAAGGCCACATTTTACATTTGAATGGATCTACCCTGTTAATCTGCCTCTTAAATCCTACATATGCCATTTTTAAAGCAAGGTCACTATTAAAAAAAAAAAGTATCCAACTATAATACAAAGTATTTTATAGTGGTTTAACAACAAAGATTTACATTTGTTCTACATACATTTTTTAAGACAATTCAGCAACTTTGAGACTAAATGTTTTTGTCCATCTTAGTGACCCATTCCTTCATAGCTCAGGACAATGTCCTCCATTCACCAACTGGTATGCAAGGACAGTCATGTACAAACTTCTTCGCAATGCCCCTACAATATGCTGTACTTCACCTGGAACTGAATCTCAGTATTTAGAACCCCTGCTGTGCTCAGCTTGCCTCAACAGTTCGCAACCAGGGGCCACTATCCCCAGGGAAACCTGCCCCACACACCTAACACACCAACAGACCAGGAAGGACTGAGAGACATGCACTTGCTATTCCTGCATTAGGGTTCTCAGATCAGCCTAAAGCAGGCAGAGAGTTGACTCATGCTGCAGCCTTTCTGGTCCAAGCCTGCAGGACATCTCCCAGAGAGAGGTGTGTGGGACACATGGAACTGTGTCAAGCACATCTGTTTCCAAGAGAGGAAGAGGGGGAAGAATGGAATGGACCTGGAGGGGTTACAGTCAAGTTGACTCTTTTGTCTGCTTTCAGGTCAGGGAACCTTACTTCAAAAGGAGAGCGCGCATGCTGCAGCCTGCACACAGGGCACTTTTACCTGGCTGCTGTTACTGCCTGGGTTGCAGCACCCATGAAGGGGTCTTGTAGCATACCATTTGAGAACCACTGCCCTACTCATTAGAAAGTAGCTCCCTTTTGATGTCAGCCTAGTGGGAAAAATGTCTTTTTTTTTTTTTTTTTTTTTCAAACTGATGACAAGAATAAGTGACAAAAGTCACATCTGTTCTAGGATATACTGCCCATAACAGGAACAATCCAATTCATCCTTCCTGCTCATACATGCTTTGTTTTATAGAGAAAGTCAAGAAACAAATAGGGATGGTTTGGCAACTGGGATTCTTCTGGATCATGGTGTATGCATGCATGAGAGGTCACCCAGACCTTTGACGCATGTGCCTAGGCAGGAATATGGAGGAGTAGAGGCTGCCCAGACCTTCCATCCCTCATTTAGGCCATTGAGACAAAATCCAAAGGCCTAACTGAGTCCAGATGTTTAGTGCCTCCATGGTTGTAGTTGTGTAAGCATCTGGGAATTGAACCTGGGTCTCCTGTGTATCAGACAAGGATTCCACCACTGAACCACAGGGGTTTCCGAGAAATGAATACACTAACAGAAAAAGAAAACAAATTTAGATGTCTAAAATATTCCCCTTTGAAGCATGCTAGCCAAAAGCAATAAATATTTTTAAGGTTCCTTCCATACCTTGAACTGTTACCATAAAATATTCATAATGCATTGTAAAATACATGTTTAGCACAAAGTAAAATTAAGTGAAAGATTAAAAGAATGAAAAGTTAACAAACCAGTATCAGAAAAGGAGCCTTTACCAGATAAAAATGGGGATTTGAAGACAGTGTAAGTAACAAGCAGCACCCAAAAAAAAAAAAGATATAATCGTGCTCGTCTTAAGGAATCTGTAAAAAAAAAAGAGATGCTTTAAATAAGATGAAGCAAGCTACTTTCCAAATATGAGAAAATGATTATATAAACTAAAGCAACTTACCACTAATTGGTTGTGAGAGCACTTGCAGTCTCAAAAAGCCCTCAGCAAAACCAGTTTTAAAAGCATCCTGATGAGCCTCCGGTATGTTTAGTGATTTCATTAGCTTATCTAATCTTTCCACTTCAGGTTCTGGGTCTCTAGAAAGCAGATTCTAAATATATACATATATATATTGCAGACTAAAGTTAATTTACAGCCATTTTACTAGTTTTCACATACAGAAAAATACATGTTACTGAGCTAGCCTGACCCATACAATTAAAAACAGCCAGATTTTAGCTATGTGCTGTTCAGTCTACAGAACTGGATGCGGTGCATCCATGACACAATAGATAGTTCAGTAATTTTCATCATGTGGCTTCTCCATGTTTGATGACTGGATTTACTAAATTTAAATTAAAGCAAATTAATGTTGATCCAGGAGGGCATTTGCTTAGGCAAGCAAGTTAATACATTTTAAAAATACTGGCCACAAGTGATATTGTATTTAGTTCTGTTAAAACTCAACTGCTGTTTTACCAAAAACATACACAAAGTTAAGAAGATAAACTAGTGAATTTCTGCTTATAATAGTGTTTCACTGCTCTCCAGACTACTTTTAGGGAAATTATAAACGGACTGTGTGAAATATTAAAATATTTCATTTTCATAGCTTGAAGAATTTGCACTTCTGAATTTCAAACCGGCTTACTTTAACAAGTTAATGGACTGAATCCAGGAAACATAAAAAAGCAAGTCTCACATGCATTGTCAAGGGTAGGGAAAATGTCAATTTTTCTGTTCTCTAATTATCATCTTATTATCCAATTGAAGCATCATAACTGAATGTATTCATATGATCTTAATTTTATAATGGAACCAGCATGCTTACCTTTAGAAATGAAGGGACTACATCTTGTGATTCTTTTAATGGTTGTTCAGATGTTGACTGTAGACGTCTTGCTCTTGATTTCAAAGTCTTAAAGCCCCGAGACTGTATGAAAACTTTGAAATAATGGTAATGGAAAATTTTATATTAAATAATGAAGGTGTAACAGATATAAATGTTCTGAAACCATGAGCTATTCAGGGAATATTGTATAGAGTTATGACAGATGTTATGGACACACAGATTGTTAAAAATACTCTTCTAATGAGATTTAAATGGCATGTGTATTTTTTTTTTTGTTTTAGGTTCAGGGTGGATTAATTCTTGAAACTGGAGTCACCAGGGAGGGGAGATGAATGTTAAAAGAGGAATTTCTACCCCGAGTTACAAGGGTGGAAAAAAATAACAGCACAAACTGAGTTGTTCTGGATCAAGGTCTGACAAAAATCAGCAAATTTGATGTTATGAAGACAGTCTTCATCCGAGGTCTGACATATACATATTGGAACAAAACTGAAATTACAGTGTTGTATGTTCCAGAGAACTATGAGAACAATGGGCAGTACTTTTTTAAATAAGCATACTTGCAAGCTGTTCAGTGTTTTTTGATATGTTCTCTCAGTAAAGCTGTGTCTCAAATAAATGTTATTTCACACTGTGAAAGCTGCCTGATTACTAGCTAACTACCATTTTCACTAGGAGAGAGCAGGCTGGCACAGTGAACTAATCTCAGATCTTCTGGAAAAAAAAATCATGCTAATTATTATGGGAGTGCAGCTCTGTCCTGGTCTGGACAGAGAGGAATGCAGGTTCCTACCCCAAAGAAAGGTGCCTGCTAGAGGCCCGACTTCTAAAAGCTTATCATCTGCTGGCATAAAGCTTGCAGCGCTGACAAGCACAGTGAACCTGCCCGAGTGCATCCCCACTCCCAGCTTTCACTGGTTATGGAGCTGTACCGACAGGTCATGCAGTGCACCCTGTGACGCACCACCTGCTACCTGAAAAAGCTTTCTGCTGCACACAGAATTGATGATGCTCTGCAAGAACAAATGGCTTCTTGCCACAGAGGAGCAGTGAGTGCAGATACGCTCATATAGTTATCAAGGCATAAAACTGAAATCTATGTAGTATAGATCAGGCCTGAGCAGTATGACCTGGGTAAGATGGCCAACATATCGAAGGTCCAATGAACTGATTTGGAACAGAGACAGAAGGAAAAAGATTTGTTAAATAAAGCAAGGTTGTACCATTGTAGGCTCTTCCTCCTTATGGCTCCAAATTAGGACTAACTTTTGTTTTCCTTATATACTGTGTAAAATAATGTCAAGTACTCTACGTGGTATGCTAAAAAAAGTAATACATCATCATCATTCTAAAGCATAATCTGTTAATTACATCACATTTACTGACTGCTTAGGAAACATGTTGGTCTGCCCAAGAGCATTTCCAATTCAACTCCCCCCAGCCCCAAAATAATTTAAAGATACGGGGCCCTTAATTTGACTTTTAAATATAGCATATTCCCATAAATGTCAATATTTGCTGCATGACTGCCTTCTGTCAGAATTAGTAAAATTCCCCAGAAAAATGTCTCACAAATTAAAGTCAACTTATCTCAGGAGATGCGTCATACCTGGCCAGTGCCGAAGATCTGAACACAATCTTTGGAGGGGTCTAGATGGCTGTCTGTGCAAGTAAGAGGAGCGCAAAGTACTAAAAATATCTGTGAAACCTAGAAAAAGATTAAAGTAAATCAAGAATATAAAATGGAAATTAATATTCACACAAAACTTTATTTGTATTATTCCTAATGTTTTATTTAAATGTCTATATGGTTTCCTAGAGCAGGAGCGGGCAAAACGTGGCCCACAGGCTGGATGCAGCCCGCCAAGCCATCCTATCCGACCCGTGAGGGCCCTAAAAAATTTAGAAAATTAATATTTTTCTGCCCCTGGCTGCCCCCCATGCAGCCCTCAATGGCTTGCCAAAACTCAGTAAGTGGCCATCCACCCAAAATAATTGCCCACCCCTGTCCTAGAGTAACAAAGAAGCCGTTACTAACAACATACACATGGTTTGTGACAATGGTGCTCAATATATCTAGCCATGCAGGCTATATCCAGCATGGGGTTGGTGCACCAGATTTGGCCAGACAGACCTGGTATTGGCACAATCCAGCACCTAGGGTGACACCATCCAGCCTGCAGGGCTCCCCATAAATATGGGAATTTGGCAGCAGAAGAGTCGTAGCAGCATTAACTGTTGTGGCACTGGGAGTCCCATGAACTGGATTCAGCTGTGCGCCACTGGTTTAAGATACTGGAATTTTGTGCATAACACCTATACCAGAATCCTTGAATTAGAACTTTCAGAGGAAAACAAATATTAAATTAGACCTACATAGGGATCTATCAATATGGAGATAGTTGCAGGACTAGAATATAAACAAACATCCAGACCTTTAGTGGCTTATAGGATTTATGTTGATATTTACTTTTTGAGTTGCTTTAAAATTATGTAACCCTTGTTTTCCCTAATCTAGACTGATTATAACCCACCCACCCCAACTTCCCTGCTGCCAGCTATATCTACCATCGCACTGTACATTTTTGTCTGTAAAGACAGAAGTCAAAAAAAGGCATTAAGCATCTAAGGATTCCTTGGATTGCCAAGGATTCTGATCAATAACCTTCCCTTAACTGCCTGGAGTAGAATCAACAGTCTGAGCTACAGAAATTTTACAGATCAAAGACAGATAGCTCACAACTCTCTTTTAACCACATTCCTCTCTCTGGAAAACATTTATCATATCTGTGTCCAGTCAGGATGCACTTCCCTCCAGAAAGTGACACTAATCCCCAGTTTTCCTTTTTGTGCAGTGCAGGTAGCATTTTAGATACCAGCTCATGGGTTCTATTTTTAGCCCTCTGGGAGCTGCCTGTCTCTGACAACACTTACAGAGCATAAAGGAAGAGGCAAATTACAAAACTAAAGATTGTTTTCTTATCATCAAGATAAGCCACTTATTTATTTTTCACTTAAAATTAGCAGTTATTAGTAACACTGAAGTCAATTTGATTTTTTTTTTTTTAATTTGGAACTCCTTCAAACAGAAATAGAACACCTGTCTAAACCAGTGATGCTCATGATTTTAGTCCCAGGGGCCAGATGAGTACTGCAGAGCCAGTCTGACTGGCTGGCATCAGGCCCCAGAGGTCCTGCACCACCTCTGCCTGACCAAGATCATACCCTGGGAGCCCCATACAATCCCTGCCTGTCCCCACACACCAGGATGAGGCCCTGCACTACCCTATGTGCCCAATCTAGCACAGAGGACTGAAAGAGAGAGTGCCAGAGGCCAGATCTGGCCAACGGGTTGAAGACCCCTTGTCTAAAACTGTTACCATCTTCATAGATCACTGTATAACTGTATAGCATAACATCCATGGTTTGATTTTCCATGCATTCAAATTCAAAATTAAGCATAATTGATTTTTTACTAGTACTTACCATGTTTATTTTCAAAGAAGGACTGTGCAGAGACATAAGACACATGCCATTGGGATGAAGTTTTGTTTTCTTCATAAAGGCCAGGAAGCAACCTGTTCCTTAGTTCACTGAGCTCATTAACTTTCAGATCAGACAGGCCCATATCTCTCAGATTAACAACAGGCTGCAATACAATAGGGAGGTAGTTAGTGATGTTAATCTGAAGTCAGGAAGAAGGCAAATGTTAACATCACATCAGGAAAAAAAATTCTACCACTAAAACAGGAATAGAATGTTTTACGAGAAATACTAGAAAGAAAAAAGTGTTTGAGTGAAAACTGCTTATATCCCAAAAGCTTAATTTTTTTTAGCTTTTACACTAGTTTGAATTTGAAAATGAAACACTTACCTATATGAAGAAAAATCTAAATCATTATATTTTTGTCTTTAAGGGAAAAAAATTAAATCTATTTTTGACAACAAAAAAAATCAAATTCTATCCTGCATGTGCAAAAAGTTAGATGTGTGCCTCTGCCAGAGGAACCATGTATTTGTTCTCTCCCTAACCCAGAGAATCATGCATGTTGGTGATTCCCATACATTAAAAAAAAACTGAAATGTGATCCTCATTTGCACCCTTCGGGGTGGTTGGGGTGGTGAAGGATGTGGCTGTATTCTGTTTTAATTGGAACGCTTGCCATTTTGTATGGAGAAAAATGCTTCATTCTTCCTAATGCACAATCTGACTAAACAGCAAAAGCCAAAACTGCAGGTCCTAACAATATTAATTTAAAATGCATATGGTTCTACAGGATGCTTGATGGCCTGGGGACTGAAAAAAAGGCTATACACTTATCCCAACTCACTGTAAATTATTCTCCTTAACCGTAGGAATAATTGCAGCATGCTTAATGGACCCCATTAAAGGTTCCTAACCCTTGAGCCTAGAAATTGCCAGGACCTGGTCAGTTAGAGGCTACTTTAGAAGCATTGAAAATGACTATCCCATGTCAGTTCCGTTGCCAGAGCAGTGCAAATGAGTACAATTGCAGTACACAGTGAAAAGCAGGGCCAAAAAGTTTATGAATCTAAGTCAGGGGTTGGCAAACATATGGCCTGCTGGCTGCTTTTGGTCCACAGAGGAATTTGATCTGACCCACAGAGCCAGGGAATTTCAGAAGGAATGGGGGGTGGGGAAGGGCTCTGCCCATGCATAGACAAAGCCCCTCACCACCAAAGCCCTCTGGACCTTGTCAGACAGGAGCTGGGTTGTTTAATCTTGTGATCTTCAAAAGGTTGCTGGCTGTGGAAGCAAGCCATTTATGTGATGTTCATTGCAATGTAAGCAATAGGCATAAAAAGAGCAACCTATGCCTTATGTGGTTAACTGAATTATGCACAAATTTAATAGGCAAGTGAGTGGAATAAATTTATTTGGGGAAAAAAACCTTTGCTTTCAATGAACTGTTGAAGAGATGGTCCTGTTTAGTGTTCAGAATCTAAGCTTTTGTTTTTGTGACATCCACAAATAGGCTGACACATTTTGGGGTGAACACCACAGCAACCTACTGAGCTAATTAAAGCCCACCACATATTTCAATGTTATCTCTTTTATTGCTATTTTCCTAGGTGAAATTTTGTAAGAATTAGAAACTGGGTTAACTACATGGAAATAAATGCAAGGGAAAATCCAAAAGATAGGGAAGGAAGCAGGATGAAATGGTTTAACCCACCAAGCAGGATACCCTGATTTCAAAATCAATTTTAATTTTGTTTTGCACTGGATTTTTTTATGTTACTTTTGTCATAACCAAATGAGTTGAGTGCCCCTGTCACAATAGAACTGCCCTGAATAACCACAGTTACTTTCAAATTTGGTACGTTCTGCCTCATTAGCTATTCCCACCTGGCAGTCTGCTACTCTAAATGTATAAAAATCCGTGAAGCTTCCGCCCAAGTCGGAGAGCTCTGAGCACGTGGTAGAGTACGGAGAACTTTGCCACGTGGCAGAGAAAAGCTGGCAGACTGATCCCCCTCCAACATCTCCCCATCACCGTCTGTTCCCGACGTATCCTTCATCCTGCATGCTCGTTTCTGTCTACAAACTTGCCGGCTCGTTTTGTTGCCAGTTACCTGTAACTACGCAAGCAACCTTACCACCTGTGTCACGGCCACCAGCGGCGTAAGTAAAGTTAAAGTAAAAGTTATTTTGCAACCAATACGCTGTGTCCCGCCTCTCCATCCACCAGCCCGCCTGACGGCCAAGTAATCAGCGATCCTCCTCAAGTTGGCTCCGACCGTCTGAGACAACTTTCTTAAAGGCAAACCAACCCATAAGTATCTAGAAGCAGATACATATGGGTTGGTTTGCAACCAATTTATAGCTCTTGGACTAGATTTGGGACTTTTTATTGCAAACCAGGGAAACATCTTATTTACACATGTTTAACAAGGATTATTTTTTCAGATTCTGATTTTACATTTTAATTATGCTAAACTAGAATAAATTGTATATTTTAACAAGCAGCAATTATTTTTACATGTGATCTGTCTCAAATTGCTGTTCACCTGGAAACTAAAATGTCACATGAGATAACTAAAATACCACTTTTTTTTTTTAAAGATCTGAACTATTTTTTGTCATAATGCAGAGACATAACTAGAGGTTATGCATGCATAGACAAAGCCCCTCACCGAACACCCACTCCCCAAGCCCTGGGCCTCCAACCTGACTGGCTGCATACTAGCCACGTGCATGTGCAAATGCAGAAGCACATGCGACCAACTGCCCCAAGCAGCTCCTTGCAGGCTGGAATGCTGCCAGCCTGCAAGGGGAAACCTATGCTTTCCCTCATTTTTCTGAGACGTGCTCAAGACCCTTTCAAATATTGTTGCAACTCACTTTTGGGTCGCAGCCCACAGGTTGAGAAACACTTGTGTTAGAGGATAGGTACAAACAAAAGGAGTTTCTTTTTAAAACATTGAGTTTTAATTACCCTGGAAGGTGGTTAGAAATGGAGAATGAAAGATGAATTAGGTAGGAAAACACACTATAAAATATAGCCTTGGTTTTAAAGGCAAACAAGTTCTCTCACCAACTGACAAAATAATAAGGCATTAAACAAACTAAACACCTATTTAGTCATTCTAGTCAAGCTGTAGTCACTCTCTGATCGTTGTGCAAGACAAACTGACACATGGGTGTCAACATATTAACAGGACACAGCGATGAGTACAGAAGACATTGCTGGTGGGTACATAGCCCTGAATTTCCATAAAGACATGAAAATTGGATTTAGGAATCTAAATTAAGTATTTCTGAAAGTTTTAGTCTCAGTGAGAATCAGCATATTTATAAACCCATGTTTTTATCTTAAGTTGTTCCTGAATTTTGTTGGCATGACTGAAATTTGAGAGAACAGAAGGAAGGTGTAATAGGCACAATCAGGGTGGTTTCCATGAAATGACCAATCATTATGGACTATTTTTTACATTCTAATTACCCATCAAGAAGTTTTTCTGTCTATTACTTGTTAAAAGTGCCCACAGAGTTTGGTAAAGATAAACAGAGACTTGGCTATGCACAAAAAGGAGCCATAAAAAGAAATACCACTTAAATAAAAAACAATATTTAGTGCAAAAAAAACAAAAACAAAAAAAACTAGTCAAAACTATTATAAGTGTACTAATATTTGGCAAGGAAAGTAAAACCAAGGTTATTACAAACAAGCTTTCTTTTCATCATTTTACAAGGTCATCAAGAAAGTTTGAAATACAGAAGCTAATCCTTCCTCTTAAACTGCCCGAGACACATACTAGTCACTTTGTTGATCTTAACAAGCAAGGACTTTACCTCTTATATCCTGACAACTGCTAGGGTACTGTAGTACATCTCTTTTTCACAAAGTTCTATTTGTTCATAATTTATGCTTTTTTTTCCTACTGTTTCCAATACCTTCTCAAAATCTAAATTTTAGACTCCTGCTTATGACTTTGTTTACAAGTTAGCATTATTGTCTTAAAGGCTGCGTCAAACCCAGCGTTGTTAAATCAAAGTGAATCATAAAACCCACCTTTTCTGTGTGATGCATTGTCTTAAAAATAATTTCAATGGCCTTTTATTACCATATACAGAATTTAGAAGATAAGCATATCATCTTACGCATGTTTAAGATGTATCAAATATTACATGCAAGTTACTTGACTTTTTTTTTTTTTTTTTTTAAACTAGTACTTTTCAGACCCAATTCAAATGCAAAAAAATGCTGATCTCTACAAAATTCCTATTACCTTACTACTCTGGGCATCATGTTCAGGGGCTGTATCCTTTTGTAGAGAGTGAATAGCTGCTGTGCTGGCAGAAGTAACTGAGCTTTTGGGTGAATGGAAAGCATTGATGAGGTGACTCAGAGGAACAGTAACCTGGAAGAAATTAAAGATTAAATCAATCTAAAATTAAATAATGAAAAATTAAGTGTAGAACTTTCACCAAGTCAGGTATCCAGGTTTGTACTTTCACCAAGACACCTAAACGCATTCTCATGACAGACAGTGCACAAGTATAACATTCTATATGGTACTTTTCAACTGAAAATCTCAGTGGTTCACTGAGCACAGGGTAAGAAGAGAAGTTGATTTACAGAGGAAGAGAAATAAAATAATAAGTATCCAAAAACAGCTTAGCTGCACTAAGTTTGCCAGAGGAAAACAGGATCCAGGTTCCATGACTGGATTCTAAATGATGTAATAACATTCACCAGAACCTCAAATACAGAGTTAAGAGACAAAAGTTCAACTTGCAAACAAAGCAACAGCCTCCATTTGTATTTGAACTAGTCATTAGTTTTCTGAAACAAAATTACTTATTTTTACGTAAGTTTTCTCAGTTACCATGGAAAATAAAGAAACAATCTATTCTTTGTCTTTAAGCAGTAGCTTTGCCACTTTTCTGATGGTACCAACTTGTTTGTCATATTAGTGATAGCTGATACTACAACACTGACTGTTGTACCATTTGCATGTTCTTGCAGGCGTGGGCGCAAAGAGCACATCAACATACACATGAATCGCAAGGCAGGAAGAAAACCAAGTCACAGGACTAGTATGTATCTGTTGTGAAAAGTATTAGTCTCAATGCCTTATATAATGAATCCTGTCCTGCTTGAATCCATGCTACAACCTCAAACAACTACCGTATTTACACGCATATATCCCGTGGGGTATACACAATTTTACCCCCCAAAAAATGTATGGGTGCGGGCTACTGACAGACTTTTCTCCCCCCGCAAGGCCCAGGCAGGCCGGGCTGCGCCACCGCTGCGGGGGCTGGGGCGGGCTGCGCTGCCTTCCCGCTGGGCCCAGGCAGGCTGGGCTGCGCCGCCATGGCTGCGGAGGCCCGGGCAGGCCGGGCTGTGCCACCTCCCCGCTGGGCCCGGGCAGGCCAGGCTGTGCCACCTCCCCGCTGGGCCCGGGCAGGCCAGGCTGTGCCACCACTGCCGGGGCCAGGGCAGGCTGAGCTGCGCTGCCTCCCCATGTATACACCGCCGCAGGGAATACACAGGTGCAGCGCATACACGGATTAATTTACAAAAATACAATTTTCCGCGGGTTATACGTGGGTGTGACTTATACCCATGGGCGGGCTATAGGCTAGAAAATACGGTACTATTCTGCCTAGTGGGCATGAGATCCAAGATATAATCTGACACGTGCTGCCATGGTTGAGTCCTACTGCAATGGGAAGAAGTTAGCAATATCCTTGAGAAATGGAGACAAACTGTCAGTTAAATCACGCTTCAATTTTTTACCTCTGTTGTGACACCTAAATTACTGTAACTGACATGAAAGAAAGGTATTTTCAGTTTCATTAAACAAAATCCCTGGAGTTAGGAAATTTCCAATCTGAATGTGTCTTGTACACAGCGGTTAGAGAAAAAGTACAGAGGAAGAGAAATGGAATTGTAAAATGACAAAAAAAAGGACCAAGAACCTTAAACATAAAGCAGTAGCAAATTTAGACTTTAACCTGACACTGCCCCTTTAAACAGTTAAGACTTGTGTGTTTAGCTTATTACCCAGATTATATCATGCCAACTGGTTCACGTGAAGAGGTAAATCTAGCAGAAACTAAGAAAGGCATTAGAGAAGCACCAGTTTAGTATAAAGTACTCTTCAGCAGGTCTCAAGCCAGCCAGTTTATTTATAACGCATACATAGCAATTAAGGAATCGGTCCAAGAGCCAGCATACGGTGCTGTTAGCAAAACTAAAACGGCTCAACAACCAGTGTGATGTTGTTATGACTCGGCTCTTACGTAGCAGGAACTAAGGAAAAATGACGCCAGCGTGACGCACTCAGGCAAACATCCCCACGTCTGTGCATTCAAAGCCGAAGTCACTAGTCGGGGAAGTCAGTGGGCCCAGCAGTGGCCAGGCAAGAAAAAAACCCCACGGTGCGTCACCCCAATGGCGGAGCACAGGCCGGGAACGAGACTTGATAAGCAGGGAATGTGGGACCCGACGAAGCCCCACACGCCCCGCCGGGAGGGACCAGACCGCGGTGGAGGGGGAAATAGTGAGCGACAAGTTGCCGCCCCAGGGGCGACGGCGGACAGCCCCCAGGAGCTGCCTCAGTGCCACCCCTAGCAAAAGCCGCCCTGAGATGGGAAGGTCCCAGACGCGGCCTCCTCCGCCCTCGGCCGCCGCTCCCACCCTTCAGCCCCCAGTGACGGCCGCCTCGTTGCTCCCCCGCCGAAGGAACCACCCGGCCCGGGCCACACCTGGGGCTGCACGCTGGTAGACAGGGAAAACATCCTCCTCCCGCCCCGAAGCGCTGAACGTCCGCAGAGAAAATGGCCGCCTCCTGCTACCGGCGAAGCCAGGTCCTGCAGCTGCTCCGGAAGCAGGGGGAGCAGGAGCCGCTTCCGGGGCGCCGCAGGGGGAGCAGGAGCCGCTTCCGGGTCGCACATATCCCCACTTCCGCCCTCCAGCTACCGGGCTCTATAGCAACGACTGTGTGTGACGCAGCTACGCTCCTCTCGCGGGGAGCAAACCATTCTTTGGGCGGGGGGGAGGTTAGGAACAAACCATTCTCCCCACTGCGGCTGAGCGTGTTGCGTACGTCACTCGTGCGGGACGCTGTCACGTGGCCGGGTCTCGGGGAGGGGTGGGGGAGAATGCGTGGCGGCTAGACACGAGCTTCCGGGCTGGTGCAACTGCCGGCCCCCTTTCCTTCGCCCGCGGAAGCCACACGGCCCCGTATGCAGGCACGCAAAGCCTCGGCCGGTTCCTGTCCTGGGGGTGGGGAGGCGTACACGCGCGTGTGAGGAATACGGATAGCAAGGGGCCGGTGGGTCAGTCCCGAGGTAGCTGACCGCCGCGCGCATGCGCACCACTTTTCCCGTGCTCTTAGGAGCGCTCGCGAGGTTTGGCGGCGCTCGGCCTTTCGTGGCCGTTGGCGTCAGTGGGGGCGGGGTTTAGCTTTGAATTGGCGCGGGCTGCGGCCGCCAACAGTAGCAGTGGCCGGGCCTGGCCAGGCCATGGGCACGCCGGAGGTGCGGGGGGGCGCGAGGAGCATCTCGGTGCCGCGACCGCCTTCCATTGAGGACTTCACCATCGTGAAGCCCATCAGCCGCGGCGCCTTCGGGAAGGTGTACCTGGGCCGCAAGGGCGGCCGGCTCTACGCCGTCAAGGTGAGCGATGGCCTGGCCCGGCCTGGGGCGTCCGTGGGGAGGCCGCGGAAACGCCTTGGACACGCTGTTCAGTGCTACGGGTGACGTAACGATCATATTGGTGCCGTCATTTCGACCCCGGCACGGTGCAGCTCAACCTGTACAATCATTTTTGCGGCAGCTGGTTGATGCAAGCGCATGCAAGACCCAAGTCACTCTTGGAGAGTCCTAACCGACTTCTGGGTTTGCTTCAGCACTTTGACAGCTTGCATAAAAACAAAAAATGCTTCAACTTTAACCCGGTTCTTACTCGCTCACTGGCGAGTTATAGCGAGCAATATAAAGTAAATAAGAAGACTTGTTTGCACAGTTGTTTGCATAACTCTTTGGTGTATTAGGGTTCCCATATTTCCAGGTCCAGAAAAGAGGACACCTGTCATGTGGGGGGCCGGGTAGGATGGGGGGCAGGCAGTGACATGCTGGTGCCCTGCCCCTGCCCATTCTGTTGCACCTCACGGCCGAGCTCCAGCCCCCCCAGCCTGGCTGCTGCCTCTTACTCCTGACCCACTGACCCCAGCCCTGCCAGTGCCCCTTACTCCAAAACCACAGTACTCTTCCCCGCCAGGCCATGATGGTGCCCCTCACTCCACTGGTGGGAGCAGGGGCAAGGTGATCGGAGGCAGCAGGGAGCACCACGTGAGTCTGCACGTGCCAACACAGCTGCAGGCAGGTACCTCCGATTGGACTTCCCCTGCTCCCACCAGTGGAGCAAAGCAAAACCCCAGACATCTGGTCAAATTTAAAAAACCTACCCACGCAGAGATCAGAAGGCTCAAAAAGAAGACATATCCAGGAAAACCCTGACAGATGGTAATCCTACAGTATATGGTAGTTTTTTCAACAAATACAATAATTTTGAGCTTCCAGTATGATCATTTCATATTTAAGACCTGGCAATGCTATGCCCTTTCAGGAACAGTTACTTCAAGCCAATGAGTGTCCGTCCCCACCCCTGGTGTTGTACAGTACCCTGAGCTTCCTGGAGACCCTTCCAAGGGTGCCACGGGGGCCACACGCTGTTGGCTGGTGTCGTCCTGGCTGTGGGCAGTCCCTGGCTAGGAGGATGCTCTCCCGCAGTTCATGGACTGGTCTTGAGGTGACTTAAGAGTCCAAGCCTTGGGCCACAGCCCCATTCATGGGATTTGCAGGCATTTTGGCAGGGGAGGGGGCGACCAGCCCACCTGGATTCCTATCCTTTTCCTTCCTCCCTTCTCTCATCTGCTTTGTGGGCGAGGCGCTTGGCCTCCCAACCACCTGCCACATGATTGAGGTTGTGGTGGTGTTGGAGCTAGTCAGCAGCCAGCTTCTCCCAGCTCTTGGCATGGGCATCTATTTCCTTGAGGACGCCTTCAGTGTGTCCTCGTACCTTTTTCTCTGGCTGCTGTGAGATCTCCAACCGTTGCTGGAGCGTGCAGAAGTTGGGCATCATCTGCACAGGATGTTGGGGCTTGAGGATCCTCAAGTGCTGTTAACTCTGCTGAGGGTTTACCAGATTCACCAGGTAAATTCAGTGGTTTCATTTTGGAATCCATGGCCTAAAAACATTGGGCCCTGCGCTGCTTCTGAGCTCTTTGCAACAGAGGAATTGGGTTTTTTTGACTAGGGAAAAGTAAGAGGAAGTGAAAACAAAGTTGGCATTTTCAGAGGGATGTCTTGAGTTGAACCAGGAGCCCTTTTGGTTTAAAAGGTAGAGAATCACTGATTTAAGTGTCCCCTATGACAATAATGAACAGAGCTTTGCTTCTACTTAAAATAAAAGTAGAGTCAGTTTAAATCATGTTTACATCAGAATAGGTAGTAAAATGAGAACCTCCCATGTTTTTGTTTCTGTATTGCATCTTTATATAGTCAGTCATCTAACTGGGCCCTCAGCACAGGTAGGAGAGAGAAACTTTCTCAAAGGGAAGTGTAAATGTGAAGCCACAGTTCAGCTGGGTGTAGGGGTGGTTTTCCTCATTTATACTGATTGGATCTTACATTGACAAGTGCTCCTCTAATCAGCTGACAGGATATGGAGAGTATGATTTTCGCAGTGCTGAGAAATTAGCACGGAACCTTCCAAAATGAAGCTTTTGGAAGAGACCATCTTTGCTGATGGAATATATACAGAGACCAGCATTGTTATCACTGTGTTTAGGTTGTTCATAAATGTAGCAGTGTTCAGCTTTCAATTAAAAAACAAATTGAAAAGTATATAAATGATTATTCAGTGTATGAACACATGACACTTTAATTGGTTTAACTGTGGCTTAAATCTGAAGCAGATGAACATACAAGGCTGTTTAACTGGTTTAGAGCCACCTGGAATGGTTCAAAAATGTAGTTGGAAAATCAAGCATTACTCTGAACTGCTTGACTTTGATTTGGTTCAGTGTTACCTATGAACACCAAGCCTTCCCTGTTTTCTGTCTTGCTGGTCCTCCAGGCATTGCACACTGCATTCCTCCTGTCCAGCACCCCCACCCCCAATCGCTGCAGTTTGACTGCTCTGATACACAGTCAGAACTCTGTTACCCACTTTTGTTGGTACTATTTACTGTTGCCCTGCTCTTTCATTCATAAAAGCTAAATTTCTTATAAATATCTGTGTCCTTACTCCCGACTGGACATCATGCATGCCTAGCTCTTGGGAACCCAAAAACATGGGTGCAAGTTCATAGATTCATATTTATAGATTGTAAGGTTGGAAAGGACCTTGGAAGAATTTGGTCCAGCCCCCTGCACCAAGCAGGAAAGAACTGGGGGTCAGGTGACCCCCAGCACTAGTCTCCTCTTGAAGATTTCCAGGGTAGGTGATTGCACCACCTCTGGAGGGAGCTTATTCCACAGTCTGGACACTCTGACTATGAAGAAATTTTTTCTAATGTTGAGCCTGAATCAGTCTTCCAGGAGTTTGTGGCCATTACTCCTAGTTTTCCCCTTGAGTGCCCTGGTGAACAGTTGCTCACCGAGCCCATGATGTACTCCCCTAGTGTAGTGGTAAGCTGCTACCAGGTCCCCTCTCAGCCTTCTGTTCTTCAGGCTGAAGAGTCCCAGATCCCTCAGCCTTTACATGGCAAGCCATACAAGGAAGACTGATCATACAGGTGGCTCTTCTTTGAACTCTCTCAAGCTTGTCTATGTCTTTGTTAAAGTGTGGTGCCCAGAACTGGATGCAGTACTCCAGCTGCAGTCTCGCCTATGCTGAGTAGAGTGGAAGAATCACCTCCTTGGTTTTGCTACAGATGCATCAATTGATGCATGCCAGAGTATTATTTACCCTACTGGCTACAGCATTGCACTGCTGGCTCATATTCATACTGTTTACCCCCAGGTCCCTTTCATTCGTGGTGCTAGTCAGTTTGGTATGCCTGTAGGTGTGTTGGGAGTTGCTTGTCCTGAGGTGCAGCACTTTACATTTCTCGATGTTGAACTTCATCAGGTTCCGATCTGCCCAACTTGCTAGCCTGTATAGGTCCGCCTGTATCTCTAGCCTATCTTCAAGCGTGATCACGCTTCCCCATAACTTGGTGTCGTCTGCAAATTTGGCAAGTGAGCTCTTCACCCCCACGTCCAAATTATTAATAAAGATGTTGAAAAGTACTGGACCAAGCATCACTGGGACACTGCTGCCCACTTCTCACCAGAATGACACAGATTCATTCACTCTGACTCTCTGGGTCCTATCCTGTAGCCACTTTCTTACCCACCTGACTGTCTCAGAGTTAAGCCCACAATCCTCCAATTTCCTCGCGAGGACATTGTGGGATACTAGATCAAAGGCCTTTTGGAAGTTCTCTAACCCCACAACCTCCCTCCCAGTTCAAACAAGCACACTGCAGGTTTAGATCAACTGCAAGCTGTTGAAGTTTACTGAATTCCTGTTTAGGAAAGAAGAAAAGCAGAAAAGTTAAAACACCCTCAGTCCTCAAAGCATAGATGCAAGCACTCCCTCCCATACATTCACTGCAATGAATACTGGGGTTGGAGCCACAGCACTTCACATGCTTGTGAAACAATTCCCAATTGATAGTGTTTTGCAGTGGTTCCATTGCTATGTCCACAGCTGGTACATTGATGAATCATCCTTAAAACTAGAATGATTTCTTTACCTTGGGCCCTGATCTGAAATCTCTTCTGTACGTGCCTTAATGTTGTTGCATTGAAATCAGAGAGCTACATTTGGGACCAAGCATTTAACTTGACAGCTTACATGTTCATGATGTCCTTGAATTCAGTAATGTGTTTAAATTTTCTGTATTGTAGCTAGTGTAAATCATTCAATAAAAGCCTCTACCTTGAATTTGTTGTTAGGGAATATCAAACGTTTGATATTTTTCATTGCTGAAGCAGTTTGGTGCCTTAGTTTGCAATGACTTATCCTTCTTGATACAGAGTGTATGCAAAATGGATTTATTTCTAAGGTGTATTTGAAACATTTCCAAACTAGTCGGCCTTATGTCTACACTGTCTTGTTTCACACATGGATTGACCTGTCTTGCTGTATGTGTGCCTTCTGCTGTTCTAGTCAACTTAATGGGATGTAACATCTCTTTAACAGCTGGTGGGTAACTAGGGGTGTGTCTTTTCAGTTCCAACAGTCCTGTCCTTAATGCTTGTGCCTAACCTTTTCAAAGATCCTGGACTCGATTGCCTCGTTTGGAGTGTTTCGTGTCCAGTCCCATCTCATTGGCAAGCAGACATCTAGAGGGCACTGCCATTGGAAATAGAGGGGGGACACCTTTGGAAGTTAATGCAGTGCCATGCCAAAGTGAATGAACCCAGAGAAGGCATCTACAAAAACCAGAACAGGACCTGGTAGTGCTTCTCTTCTCTGTCTATGCTGTAAACTAAATTGCATTTTAGTAAGAAGTGACATCAGGGAACCCAGATGTCCTGGACAGCCATCAAGACTATATTGCAAGATCCCAACAAACTTGGAATAACACCCTTATACCAGGGAGTCTGACAGGAGAACTGCCAGCACAGGCAAGAATGACAGCTGTTGATGATGCATAAGGACCTAGCTGTCAACAGCTGTACTGAAGCCACTCGGGAAGCGTCCTATCAACCCTGCTGAAAACTACTGTTATCCTTAGGGTTGCAGTGCCAATAAATATTATGTGCTGTATTGCAGTAGATCTGCAGTCATGTATTTAAACTACCACTTTTGGGTGTTGGTTGTTTGACAGTGTTGGGTGGACCTAGGGCCCTCTTAAGAGTATAAGAACTGCCATACTGGGTTAGACCAAAGGGCCATCTAGTAGATGCTCCAGATGTGTACAGGAAAAGGAGAGGGTGGTCAGAGGTGCAGAGTAATCTGTCCCATGCCACACCCTCCTAAGTACCAGCAGTCACAGATTTAGAGATGTCCTAAGTCTGAATATACATCCCTGACTGTTATGGTGAGTAGCCCTTACTAGACCTGTCCTCCATGAATTTGGACTTTTCTATGCTCTTTGGCCTCCACATTGTCCTGTGGCAACAAATATGTTACAGCCACACAACTTCCTTTTGCTTGTTTTAATTTGCCTGATTATTTCAGTGGGTGTCTCTTAGTTCTTGCCTCCCTTTCTGCTTGGCATTAACTGCCCCTCCCCCAGTTTGCCCTGTATGATGGAGACTAAAACATTTGATACTGTTATATTTCTGCAGTATCAAGTCTCACCAATACCATAATCAGCTACTAGTTTTCACGTTCATATCCTTTTCCCCTCCTCCATTACAAAGCTGCTTGCTTCTTGCACTCCCATCACTCAAAATGGAGTATGCAGGCACTTGAAAGTAAATTATTCCATTTCTTATACAGGACCAACAGTCCTCTGCTTTCCCCAAGATACAGGGGGTTGTGGAGAATTAAACTGGGAAATGGCTATCCATCTTGAAGGAACCAAGGGGAGCAGCTGAAAATGACATGTCAAAATTGTGGGGAAAGAAATGTTTTACCATTATGAAGACTACATGGAATGAGACAACAAGTAATTGCAGTTTTTTTTTTTAATCTTCTTCACTCCTCTAGCTGGGCAAAGATGGAATGTCAAGGAGCTGCACTATGAAATACTCAATTCATAGCAGAGGACCATGAAGTTAGACATTAGGAGGGTTGGTATTAGATGCGAAAGGTTAAACAATTAATCATTTAATGGATAAGCCCAGTGATAACTGGTTAGCTTACGGGTTATTGTTTAGCACAGGCCAGGGTGCAGTCTGTCAGGGAGGATGGGAAAGGAAGCCATGCAGTGCCCCATCAGGAACTGGAAGGCAGCGGGGAAGGGCCAGGGAGGACTAGTACCCATAGCCAGAGGTTAAAGAGGAATTGACTCATCAATTAAGCAATGAGCTGCTGCTTCACAGGTGGTCCCACCCAACCCCTTCCTCCCTCTCTTCAGTTTGGCTGTGTTGTCAGGTTGCCTTGCCACTCACTTCCTCCTTGTCCTCTTGGCAGGGGTCAAAGCAGCTCCCAGCAGCACTGGTGTCTGAGCTGCTATGTTATCTTGAGCTAGGGACAGAAGTTACACATAAAGACGTTTAAGTGATCAGAAACTGGTTTAGACCTGTAACAGAAGTTAAGTGCATAACATAAACCAGTTTCAAAATGGCTGAAACTGGTTGAAGATAAACCTGGTTGAATGTAGTATCACACTTAACTGATTTGGGTCAAACTAGTTTATGGAACTTCTGTCCCAGACCCCTTCCTAGTTTATGTTAAATCAGAGTCCCCCAGCATGCTCTGCAGCCCCGGACTGGGTTGGGCTCTTTGCTCCAGAGAGCAGGGCTGGCCCCACCCCTCTGCTCTCTACCTGCCAGCCTTGGCTCCAGCTAGAGAGCAGGGGGAGCAGGGAGGGGGGTTTATTTCCACACTCCCTCCCCCTCCTCACCAGGGGACCACAGCTGGTGTCTGCCTGACCAGTGGTGTACAGACATTCCCCATGTAGCAGTCTGTCAGGCATCCCCCCCCTTGCTACTTGGGGGGCGGTTGGTGTGTGGCCAGTCCCATCCACAGCCTGAAGCAAAGGGGGAGAGGGAGTGGAATTTAATCTCCTCCCCGGTCTCCCCCCCCAACTGGAAGCCAGGGCCTGCCTGGCCAGGCAGAACAGCCAAAGAATAGGCAGCTGGGTCCTGTCAATGGCCCTGATGCAGTTTGGGAATTCCATACCTTCAAAACCATCAATAGTCTCCTGCATGCAAGCTCTTTAACACAGCACAAGAGAACCCTCCTCCTACTATCACAAAACCGGCACCAGAATGAGTACTTACTCACTAATCTGTGGTGATTGTGGTGCCTTTGTTCTAAAGTTTTGCTGCCCTTGTTGCTCATCCCAGTCTTGCAGTATAATCCTTTCCTACTAGGGAGTGCTCCACTGGATAAGGGAGCCACAGGTCTTTCTATAGAAGTAATTGCTTGACTTTATTCTCTTTGTTAATGGGGGAAAGCAAAGTAACACAAGAGTCCACCATTAACTATTATTTTGAGTGCTTGGAAGCTAATGCAAACTAATTTAGAGCTGTGTGGATCCAAGGATTAACAAGGAAAGTGCCATCACACAGCAGTGTGGATAGATTTCATTTTGTTACAACTAAACTTACTGCATTTAGAGCAAACCAGAACAATTGCTTTAGCACCACTAGCAGATTAAGCCTAAAAGTATGTTAGTCCCAATATGGTAACACCTTGTCAGTATTCTTTGGTGGACAATAACAATAGGTGGCACAACCAACGGACACATTTGATTCAAAATGGTATTGTTACGAAAGGTCACAAGTAAGAGATGGGTTTGGTTTTTTTTCTACTGTGAGCTGCTTAAATTTACTAAGGCTTCTCCCTCCTCTGCTCCCCTGAGGGGACCAGTACTTGTTAGGTAACTTGATTGTGAATTTGACGTAACTGTTTTTCTTGTATAAGCAGAAATTAGTCACTCTTAAGTAAGTATTTAACTATTTTGTAGTTTAATGGCATTCAGAGTGCTACCTTGTATCGGAAGTTAAATTTAAAAGAACAGTTTTTTTTGTAATAAGCAATCTTGCAAATAAAAATAGTGCCATAAAAGCAATCTTTAGAATTCACTGAAGCCACTTCAACACAGGATTCATTGGTTATGCAAGCTGAAAAATGTTTGTCTTCTGAAGACTCTTCGTTCTAACTAAACTTTGTCATATGTTTTTGAGAAGTATAGTCTTATTGATCTTGCCTCCTTTTGAAAAAATAATTATGCACAAAAATTCTATTAACACCTTTTATTAAAACATTAAATTAGGAAATAGGTCAAGGCATTCCAGGCAGTATCTGTTGTGCTTCTCAGAGTTTTTTAAAAGTATTCCTGATCATGATTCCTTAATAAACTTGCTCTTGTAATAGTTGTTTGTGTTAAGCCTGCTGCTTCCATATGGTGGGCAAATATTGGTGAACAGCACTTAAGGTTCTTTTGGCATGTGCAATAACATGTATATGTATATGCAATTTGTTTCTTGGATTATTAATAAACTAATTTGAGAAACGAATGTATAAACCACTTTTTAATATTGCAGAATTACTTTTTGCCTCTCAGATAGGTGGCCATATACAAAACTATACTCCCCCTCCCAACATGAGGGTAATCTATACAATGTAGTTTTAGCTGTTCTAATGGGGCATGGAGCATGGGCCTCAGTGAGTTGGTGAAGAGTTAATGTAGGAAACTAACTATTCTCATTTGTGCTGTTGCAATGCATGTGTTCTTGAAGATGAATATTATCCTGAATGAATGTCTACTTTGTTTTTTCAGGTAGTCAAAAAAGCAGATATGATCAATAAAAACATGGTTCACCAGGTCCAGGCAGAGAGAGATGCTTTGGCTCTCAGCAAAAGCCCCTTTGTTGTGCACTTATATTACTCACTTCAGTCAGCTAATAACATCTACTTGGTGAGTAAATAAAGGGCTATGGAGCTTTACTGTAGTCTTGAAAATATAGTGCGGAATTAAAGAATCACTGTTTGAAAATATCTTCTGGCAATAAGGGATTAACTTTTTCATCCAAAATGAGTTCTTAACCAAAATAGTTGGGTGGGATTACTATCTTCTTTTCCCTTTTTAACTCCTCCCTTGTATTTATATTCCAGTCCCCCTACCCCTTACCATCAATGCTATATTTCTAGATAATTAACCTGGTTAAGAATGCCTAGCATTGTTTTTTGGTGCAAAATGAAAATAAAGAAAAAATGTATGTGATCAGTCTGGGGAATTTGCAACTGTGTGCGCCTTGAAAAACATGTATAGATCACCGATGAGAAAATGTATATGGTTTTTGTGCTATTGTTTCAGGTGCATGGAGTGAGATGGGCTATATGGGAAGTAAATCTCCCCCCACCGCATAGCCCTGGGTTCATCCTCAGACTAACTTCTAGATCACTGTGTTGCTCTGATGTTGCCAAGGCAATATGAAGCCCAAATTGTCAGACTGTGAATAGAAACATTACAATGTCTAGAGAAATTGTCAATTCAGAATGTGTAGATTTCTAAAAATTCCCACCCAGTTCTGAATATTTGATCATGCAATTAGCATAGTTTGTCAGGAGAAAGTAGATTGGGCATACAAATTTAAAAAATCCTGCACACACATGAGCTCTGTATCCAAGGAAATCTTAATTGACCTTGTTGTCATCTGGAGTCTTAACTGTTTGTAAATAGAAAGGAAAGTCATTAAATATTGCTGATGTAACCAATCTTGGAAATAGTTTAAGTTACCACAGGAAAGCTACCTACTAATCTTACTCCTTGCAAAATGATTTTTTAAAAAGAAAATTTGATTCATAGTTGTGTGCAGCTTTAGATTAATAATTTGGGATACTGAAAAATATTTTGGATTAAAAAATGAAACCTTTCAATGTGGCAGGTGATGGAATATCTTATTGGTGGAGATGTCAAATCTCTTCTACACATATATGGATATTTTGATGAAGAAATGGCAGTAAAGTATATTTCTGAAGCGGCCCTGGCTCTTGATTATCTTCACAGGCATGGGATAATCCATAGGTAAAGCCCACTATGTAGATTTATGGGGGGGGTGGGGGTTGGTTTTATTTCCATGGGAAGTTTTAAAACTGGGTATGGTATAAGAATGCAGAAAATTTATGTCGTTAAGGACTGACTTAATATCTTTATTTTTAGAGCTCTGCAAACTTTAGCCTTGCAAGCTGGTAGGGCAGGAGCAGAAAGGGAGACAAAAGAGTCTGTAATCATTAGGGAATAAAATCCAGAATTCTTTTTTGAGTACATGGATCCCTCTGTAGAGTGACTGAGCCCCATGAGGGTGATCCCAAAGTCATTTAGCCAGAGCCTGGTCATTTGCTTTACATGCTCTATATCCTTCCCTCCCACAAAGGGTCCCAACCACCACTCATTTTTGTGAGATAAAGCTACAGGGTTCATTTCCTTCCTCATTTTATTTCAGATAGTTCAGGCTACCTTTACACTGGAGCTTGTTCTTGGTAGAATGCCAGTTCTCAGTCTGTATTTTACTTTGGGGTGGGGAGGGGGGCAAAGCAAGGAGGATAGAGAACACACTCAGATTTTGAGACATGGAAGTCTTGTGCCATGCATGGTGGCGTAATGGAGTCTGATATGTTCTTTATGGCACTTATTTCTGGCATTTGACATTTCTATAATCTGGATTAAGCAAGGATGGTCTCCTTTTATTGATTACAGAGCACTATAAATAGCTTTATCTTTGGTTCTGAGTTCTTTTTTCTGCTTATTGCAATCTCCTCTTTCTCTGTGATGCTAATTTGACCAATGTTATTCCATTATCTCCATCTTCAGGGACCTGAAGCCAGATAATATGCTGATTTCCAATGAGGGCCATGTAAAATTGACAGACTTCGGGCTCTCCAGGGTTACTCTGAACAGAGGTGAGATGCATAAAAATAGGCTGTTGCCCAAGTAGTATATTTTAGTACAGAGGTGCTCAACCCTCGGCCCACAGGCCAGATCAGGCCCACAGAGTCCACTCCATGGGGCTCCCCAGTTAGTAACTGACTGCCACTCCCCTGTTGTCAAATTTCAGGACCTGAGGAGAGCCCTACAGACTGGTGAGCATAGCCCTGCACTCTGGATTGAGTGCACAGGGCCAGATGGAACAGTGCAGGGCTGAGTGTGCCCAATTGGTACTGTGGGGTGGTGCAGAGCTGAGTGGGGCCAATTGGGGCACAGCAGGGCAGGGCCAAGCAGAGTGGTGCAGAGAGGCACAGGGCTAAACAAGTCCAGGTGGAGGCAGCACAAGCCTGATCCTAACATGCAGGGCCTGATCTGGCTCACAGGCTGGCCCTTGCCATGGGGCCAAAAGATTGAGCACTACTCGTCTAGTATGCTTCTGAAAATCATTTTACATTCCAGTGACACACAGGATCCATAAATAAAATCAGGGTCTTGATGAGCAGGGCACTGTACAAGGCAATATACCCAACTGTAACCTGCACTGCACCACATGCTAGTCAAACAGCAAAAGGTTTTGTTAAAAGCAACAGTATTTCCTTACTCAGTTTTGTGAATGGGGAATGTTTTCTCTCTAAAGCATTGTGTGCACAGATGGTGTTATATATATTCCAGGAATTATTCTATGCTTAACTTAAATTGTTAATGTTAATTTGAAGGGTTCATGTCTTGATGCATCTAACCTAATTCTGAAGTGGGGTCTCTTGTGCTGCCGCTTCCTCTTATGTATTTATTGTCTTAGATGAAGCTATTCTTTCAGGTGATATAGCTTTCTTTTACAACTTTAAATACTGTATATTGCTAGTCAGCCATATATGCCAGGCAGACCATGATAAGTACACAGTAAACCGCACAGCATACCACATAGGAAACATTGCATAATAAAGATGCTACAGGTTGCCCATGTTAATAGATAATTTAATACGTTTTTGACAGTCTTGTCTTCCACACAGTATTGTACCATTGTCAGTAGAATTAGTGTAAATATAGAAGAAAAAAAATGTCTAGAAGATGCATATATTTAAGATTATAGAAAAACTTTGCATGCTGTATGTGTAAAATAGGATGTAATTTTAACTGATTCCCTTTAAATATGCACTCAGTAATGGTGTTAGGTTGTATGTACAAACTTTATTTTCTATCTTTCCAGTGCTTAACTATAACCTGAATGTTCTCGTCATAGAAAACTTTTTCAGATTTGCTGGGGTTTTTTTATTAAAGGCAGGAATTTCTATCTTCCTCCAGTCTTTCCTTCCAGAGACCCATACTTTACAAGCTTAATGGGAAACTACTTACTAATGGTGGTAGTCTAGCATTATTAAAACTACTTGTAGAGTACTTAAGTACAAGGCATTGAAGTACTGCACACTGGTTAGAGTAGTGTGTCCAAAAAACCCCCCCTCAATGCTGCCCCACCCCAGAATTCCTAGGATCTTTAATTGCTATTCTTGTGTCATGATTTTGTATGCATATGCACCCCTTCCCCCCAGTTGTGTTGTTATAAACATTTGCTTGTCGTTTTGACAACTGTGTGGTATAGTATTAAGAAGCTGAAAACAAAAGTCTTCAGGTTTATTTTTTTTATAACAATAAATGCAAAATATAATCAGCACAGTGCAATTTAAATTGGGTTTTTAAATATCTTATTAGTAATGCAAGTCATGGTGTGGCATAGGTAAGAATATAGAGTATGAAAACAATTAAATGGAGTATCTATCAATTTGGTATGTAGTGGCCTCTACTGGTACATATCCTCAGCACATCAACCAGGCTAAATATTTTTTTTATTGCTCTTGCATATTACATTGGTAAATGATCAAAATATTTAATTTATTCGACGGCAAAACAAAAACCTGACCTTCTGGAGTAATTTGTTATTCTTTCAATAGAGATAAACATGATGGATATCCTAACTACACCATCCATGGCAAAGCCGAAGCAAGACTATTCACGTACTCCAGGACAGGTGTTGTCTCTCATCAGTTCTCTGGGTTTTGTAAGTAATTTAGAATTTTGGGGTGCTTACACACATGCAGGGAGGCTGTAATTCCAGCGTGTCGGAACAGACTCAGTTAATCAAGTCTGCTGGAGCGTGGAAATTACTGTGCTCAAGCAGCCTCCAGCACCATGTATAACAGCGCTGAAAAATGGTGGCGGGGCGCTTTGAACTAAAGCTCATTTGAGTAATGTTTGACAAGCTTTAGTTTAAAATGCCCTGCTGCCATTTTTCAGCATGGGGACACTGATGCACAGGATGCTCTGGGTGCTTTCAATTAGCATGGCTCTCAGAGCTGTGCTAATTAAAGTCTGTCCCCTGTCCTCCCTCTGGAGCACGTCTATAAAAGTCCTTGGTTTTCTCTAAGTGTTTTAGATTTAAGGCAGTGAGAGAAACTGAATAACACTGGAGTAATAAGGGGTTTTTTGCATGTCACCTAAGCACAGCCAGGATTTCTTTTAACTGGATTTCTAGTGTCTGAGTGTACTAGAAGTAACCTTGGACTTTCTCCAAACAAAAGAATGTGTTTCTTAAAAGTGTGGAGTGAAACTTCAGTTGACCTGCAGTTATATAATTCAGCTGAGTATAAATAACTATATTTACAGTCATAGATGCTTTCTTTGTACAGATGTTTTTAACTTTTTAAAATAAAGTCTCTGTGCTTTTGATAGTACACCCCGATTGGAGGCAAGGTGCAAGGACCTACCTCAAGTTCCATGTCTGACACTTCACAACTTTCTCAAGGATTAGTTTCTTCCACTTCTGTGGGTCAAAAGGAATATACCCCTGTTTCGAGTAAACAGCTCAAGTCATGTAAGTACAGCATACAATGTTCTAAGCAACACTATTAGCATAAAAGGGGTTGGGGGGGGGTTGTTTTTTTTTTTTAATTTGACCAACTGAAATCATGGTCCAGTCATGGAGCAGCACCTCATTTAAAAGACCTGAGCACCCAGCAACATATGTCATTAACAGTAGTCTTTTGTTTTGTTCTGATTCCAATGCAAATATTTTTCCTGATGTATTCTTCCTCAATTCCAAAGAAACCATAATTCAAAAAAATTGTGCACCATGTTTTCAGTGCTAATAAAGTTAAGATAACTTTGAGTGCCTTAACATATAAATTGCTTTATTTTGGTTCTTTGATTTTTTTTTTTTTTCCCTAACCTATTAGTCCTAATATTTCTAATATAAATTGCAAGTATTACTGTAGTTTTGATGTACTTTATAAGTCATTTTGTAAGTCAGACCTCTTTATAACAGACAGAACTTACCGTATTGGAAAAGTAATGAGAACAGTTCTCTACCATAATATCCTGTTGAGCTGTTTAAAATTTGCACTGTTGGGGGCGGGGGTTTGTTTTTTTTTCTCTCGCAGGTCTTGATACTGCTGCCTTAAATCCTGGGATGCCAGTGAGGAGTTTAACTCCATCTCTTCTTCAAGCTAGAAAAAGGTTTGGTACCTCTAGTGCCAGTAGCCACTCACGCACACGTCTGTCCAGTCTGGAATCGGAATGCTGTAGCAGTCCCAGGTGGGAGAAAGATGCAGAGGTCAGAACTGTTTCAATTCTTCATGATAATTTTACTTTTATAGTTTACTTGCCCAAATTTGGGGGTTCAAATGATATCATCATGCAGCTTTTCAGAGGTCTGCCATAGTTATTCCAAAACTGGAGAGAAAATGAGCTGGATGCAATCTGCATCAAGTTAAAGGTACCTTTGACCCTGACAGCTTTTTCCCCAGTCAGATGCTTATCCTGTGCTATACAGTGGGCAGGAAAATCAAATTCCACCTCCTTACTGGCCTGCAGCCATGTGATTGGAGGGTAGTCTGCTGACTGGAAAACCTTACTTTGGGTTTTGCTCAGCTGTACAGTGAGTGAGGCGAGTGTTAGCTTTATTACCCAAAATATGAAGGCAGTAAGGGATCCTTCAAAGGAGAAAGAGAGCACACAACTTCTCTAAGGAGGCGGCAAACAACCCTGACCATCCTTTTGCCAAGGCACAAGAATTCATGAAGCTTAACTTTTAGGTGAAGGCTTATTTTCTTTTGGCATGCCACTGAATTGACAGTGATTTACTAAGCATTGCTAAGACAAATGTAATACCATTTCTCCCATTGTAAAGTGTTGGTGAAATCATTTATGGACAAATATGAAAGGTGTGGGGAAGAACAGAAAACACAAACCTTTCCTTAGTCAAGTAAAAATCAGAATTCTCAGAACTCTAACTTACTGGGCTTCTTAGGCACTGCTTTACTATTGTGCTACCTAAAATTAAAACAGCCTTTTTTCCTTTTTATCACTTCTGTATATGAAACATAATAGGCCAGTTGTGTTTTCTCCTAGAAATTGTTCTCTAGTGCTAAGAATTAAATCATAATGTAGTTAAATATGGCAGAATCTCCTGGTATAATTGCAGTAATCTTTCATCCTCACGCTTTAAACATAGATTCTTTATGTAACAGTTGTTCCATCACCGACATAATAGAAAGCTCATTTCTATTTTGCTCAGCACACCACCGCCAGCCCGGGCTCCAAGCAGCTGCTGCCAGTCAGAGCCCAGGCTGCTCCCATTAGGCAGCTGGGAGGCTGCAAGCCCTGCTGGAAGCAGCCTGGGCTCCATGGGCCGGCTGCAGCCAGGAGGCTGCAAACAGCTGCTTCAGGCTTTGGCACTCCAGCACCTTCCAAGCTAGACATTGTGGTTCTTTCGGCACTCTGGCAAAAATTTGTTGCCTATCCCTGTCTTAGACTATTGTATTGTATGGCAAGTTGGAGCTGTTCATTGTGATAGAATTAAAGTACTTTTCAAGCTCAGCAGTAAAATTACTTTTTTTATAAGCTGGAGTCTTAATATTTTCAAATATGTCAATGTGTTTGTTCTCAGGGAACTGAAGATGCATCATGTTCTGCAACAAGCAAAGTAAATAAGGAATCGGAGAAGCTTCTTAATATGGAATTGTTGCATGCCAAAGATGCTAAAACGTTAAAGACAAAGGAACTTGAGTCTGTTATCTCTCCAATTGGTAGCAATGACTCTGGCAAAAGGCATGAGGCAAGAATTGAGCATTCTGATATAATTGACACTGCTGTGATAGCAGTAGACATGAAAGATCTAGTCAGGAAATGTCTTTCTGAAAATAAGGCTTGGGAAGAAAAGTGTGCTTCAGATAAAACTGGTTTGACAAAGGAAACAGCAAAAGCATCCCATTCATGGTTGGTTGATCCCATCAAAGAGGAGGATATTCTTGAAAAGCCAGGTATAAAAAGAGGCTTTCAGCAAGTTGACACCAGTCCTTGTCAAGAACTTAACCAAGTCAAAAAAAGCAATGCCGAATACAAACGTGGTTGTCAAATTTCAGAATACCAGGAAAACCAGAACACAGGTTTAACAACAGAAATTCAGTCCTTAATGCTTTCAAGTGATGGAGGCCTGTGGAAGACCTGTAAAAGTGGTGAATTAAAAGCTAAAGACATTATCTGTAGGCAGCAAACATCAGAAAAATCAGCCACACCATTAATAGCAAAGAACCTTATGCATGATTTGGATGTAGATTATGAAAAAGATGATAAAAAGGAATATATGAACTCTAGTTTCTTAGGTACTGATGATGAGAAACCTCTTGGAATCTTGAGTGTGGACTCTGATGTATCCCTCCCTGAGATGTCTGTTACAGAGAGCCATTTAGAAAAGCAGCTTTCAGATCTGGATAAGAGTATTAAAGACCTTTCCTTTGAGGAGTCAAAAACTGAAGCCATGTTAGTAGCATCACCATGTTGCCAAGATACTTCAAGAGGTGAGGAAGAACATATCCAGGAGAGCAAGCCTTTACAACATGAACATGATACTGACCTAAAATGCTTAGCTGAACCTCATATTGATGTGTCTTCTCCTTCAGAGGAGATGATGAAAACATTGGCTCTCCTTAAAAAAAATGTTGTTGCTTTTCGAAGTTATAACAGTCCAATTAATGTGTCCAATGCATCTGAGCCATCGAGAATTAGCATGGCTTCTTTAGATGTAGTGGATGTTTCACCTGCCTGTAGTGGCTCTTATCCCATGGCTATAACACCAGCACAAAAAGGAAGATCATATAGGGCTTATCAGGTATGTGACCAAGTATTGTTGAGAGTGATATATACACGAGCACTGAATGAATTTGATGCGGCCATCTGCAAGTTAAGCAAAAGCAGACTGAAATAATGTGGCAGCATTCCAGGTCTTAGATATGCCTTGCCAGAATAATTGCCTTTTAGTCTCATCATCAATAATTTGGCCACTAACAAATGCTGTCATGGCTTGCCCTTTTGTAAGGAATGGATGATTGTTTGTTTTTAAACTGGAAGAGCACAAAACAGAAAGGGTAATATTCTGTTACTTTCATCTTGCTGCCCCCTTGTGGAACGTTGAGACACTTTTTTTCTTTGGGCAGATATCCCAGGAGTCCTTAGGTTTCCTGCTTGAGTAGGCTTTCTTTTCCCCATCTTTTTTTGCTGCAACCCACTGCTGGGAGCGGTGCGTGGCAGCAGCAGCCCGAGCAGTGGGGGAGCTCCTGGCATGCAGCCCAGCTTGTCCTTTGTGTGTGGCACCACCAGCATTGCCCCCATAACCCTCATTTTGGTTGCGGCCCAAGGTTGGGAACGGCTAATCTACACGATGTGAGGTGGTTGCCTACTGATATATGTAAAATAAAATTATTGTTGTTAAATTTACACGTAACTCCACAGTCTGGATTTGAGAAACTGTTCTTACGTTTAGTAAGAACCTGGGAGGAGGGAAAGGTTCGGGGGGGGGAAAAAAAAAAAAAGAGCACATTTCAGTCTGTGGTGTCCACTGTTATTGCTGTTGAGGTGTCACAGAAGCTTAACTGAATAACTTTGCTGGAAAAGGAAGTGAACATACAGCTGACTCGGAGAGAAGTGTTTGCAATTCTAACCATATTCGTTGAGTGCCTAGTGGTGGTATTTTTCTCTTTAGAAAAGAGAGCCGTGTTTAGATTACAAACTCCTTCACTGTGAATTAAACCAACTGTGAAACTTTGCTGGACCCAGCCCCTGTAGTTCAGGGAAGCAGGTGATTTTTCCCTTGTGGACTTGCATGGTCTGAGAAGATCTTATGCTTAGCGTGTGAATATGGTTACAGATGTGTGTATGCTTTTATTATAAAAAATACTGTTTTTTAAATATACAACTTATAATCAAATTGGACCTGTATACCTCCCTATAGTGGTGGGTATTGTGGCTGATATGATTGTGTATAGTGTATTAGACTACTGCATCAAGAACAAAGGTGGAGATCAAGTGAGTGTTAAGTGCTGTGAAAGGAAACTGTAAACAACACAGGGTTGCATTGACATGCTTTAGTGGAGAGAGAAAGATTACCACTGCAGCTTTTCAGCAAGGGTGCAGCTGTACAAAAACAAGTAAAATACCATTTTGGGGGGCACTTGTTGAAGTCCCATTGCCTTCAAAGGATGTCCTCAGTTCCAGTTGTCTAATCCCATAGAGAGCAGGCATCACACAGGTTTAAACTGGTACAGAACTGCCTGCAGATTATAATTGCAGGTGAACATGCAAGCCAGAAAGAATCCAGCTTGACTTCCAGGCTTAAATCAGTGGGGCTGGTAGTTTAAATAGCAAAAGCTTTGTTTATAAACTCAGTCTGGCATGCAGGACATAGGGAATTTGGTGATGATGATTTTTAGACTATAGTTACAGTTAAATTATATTGAATACACACACTTGCTTGAATCAGGAAGCTAGATATTGAGTGCATATTGCTAAAGTGGTTAGAATCTGAACAATCCATTTGGTAAATGACCTTTAAGATGCAAAATTGGAGGAGACAGTTTAATGGCAGTAAGAAAAGCAGATTTAGTCTTGCATTTCTTTCAGATAACTTTCTCTGGTTTTATGACAAAAGAGCAGGAGGCCAAAGAAAATTTTTAGAATGAAGGAATGGACATTGCTCATCTCTTTATGCTTTGATTTGATTGAGACAGTCATGCAACAAAAGGCTTGATGTAAGTGTAGCTATAGTCAGTATTGTTACTAGGGGTACACTATGGGCTGTGTTTGACATTTGCAACTTTTTATCATGTGCATGAGACGCCTCACGGAGGAGATGCTGATACACCATATAGGACTCCAAAGAGTGTAAGAAGAGGGGCTGCCCCCATGGAAGGTGAACGTATTTTGGGAACTCCAGACTACCTGGCACCTGAACTGCTGTTAGCAAAGCCTCATGGTAAGGAAACCATTTTAGCAATGCAAGAAAGTGGATAGTATTTGGAACTCCAAATCTGTAGACACTTTAGACCAGATTTTTAAGGTCTTTAGGGGTCTAAAGATGCAAAACCATCTCTAACAGGGTTTCAGTGTCTGGCATCTGTTCCCATTGAACTAGATGGGAGTTTAATCTTCAACTGTTTTAAGCCTCTAAACCCTTGTCTTCCTCTTGAGGCCCTAAAAGACCTATAAATAACTGACGTTTGTCCTTATTCTTGGCTTTAGCCATTTCTTTTGAAAATTTTATTTATAGTAAAAAATTATATTTATATTAAAAAGCACTGTTGAATATAAAGTCACATTTTTAATAAGCTTCTCTATTTAAGTTGATTGAATTCATCTGTGATATTTATGAGCTCAAAAAGAAATACCACTGACTTAATGGAGCATTCCCATTTCATATTCAGACTGGCTGGCTGTGGTAGATAGTTTTGGTAGAAAATGGTAACAGATTAGAAAATGTTTGTAAAGGAAATAAAATAGAAAACACTAAATGGCAGTAATAATGGATCTATGGATGACTGAAGTGAAAGACTAATTGAGAGGCAAATTGCAAATCTTGCAAATTAACAAATTAAAAATCCAGGGTATGGTATAAAAAATCCAGGGTATGGTATCACAGGATTTTGAGATGATCTGAAAGTTGTTTTAATTTGCTACTTAACGGTTTAGTAGTGGACTTTATATTTTACAAAAGTATTAAAATGTAGTAAGACAAAGTTAAAGAATGTCTTATAACTTAACTGTAACGTAAATAGAAAAGCCATCATTTACTTAATCGTAATATAGAATTACACCTTGCACTTCTACTTCCACACAGCCTTCCAGCTAAGAATCTTGATATACCTTACATTAAACTGCTGCATCTCTACTGCCAGGTATAATCAACAGCATTTAAAAATGGAGAAACTGAGGTATAGAATGGCTTACTCAGGATGTATGTGGTAGACCCAGAAACAGAAACCAGATGAAGACAAGCCTCATTGAAGTCCATGTCAAAATTCACATTCATGGAACTAGGGCTTCACCCGCAGATTTGACCCATGGAAATGGTCTTGTTTATAAAGTGGCTGTCCTCCAAGTAATTTAAAATCAGTTACCTCAATTGTTGAAGTTACTGTAAATGTATAGAACATGTCTTTTTTTTTTTTGTTTTTTTTGAAAAGTTCTGATTTTTATTGATTTCTAATAGGAAGACAGATTTATGTCCTATTTTACATTCTAAAATTGGCAAAGGGCAGCTTCAGTTGCTTACCAGTTACTGAGACTTACCTGCTTTGTAATTTGGAATAAACGCATTTTCTTTAAGGTACTGACCTGTAAAATTGTTAGCCTTCCAGTACCCCATATCTGAGAGGCATTGTTCTTTTATCCCAAACATCAGGAGGCCTCAACTCACTTGAAAGCCTCTGTCACTAATGAACTCCATCCTGCTTTGAGGTAGAGGGTGCATTAAGGAGTGCAGCTAAGAGATTTCTAGTTCCTTTCCAAATTTTCTCCGAGCACATTTATGTCAACTCTTAGAAAAACCCATCTGTGTGTGATTAAGGGGACTCAGAAAGCGCCACAGAAACAAACTGAACAAGCTACTCCAGCAATGAACAAAACTGATAATATTTAATATAACTCTTACATTGATGAATTGGCTTCTGCAGTAATTTTAATATGCCTAACTCATTTTTTTCATATACAGGGATTCTGACCTGTGGTGAGTTTGCTCTAATACTTTATAGAAAGTGTTCAAGTAAACTATGAGCAGTCAAAGTATAACTAGATCACACTTTCCGGTAAAGATACTGCTATATAAAATTACATATACAATAAGTGAACCAGATAATAATGCATTATTTCTTGAGATCCAACTTATTAAGAAGCTTCAGTTGTACTGTTTGTAGGTCACTGGAAGCCAGATCTACACCTTTTGGGCTACAGTCATCGCATACTACTTTCCAAGACTTTCTGGCTAACAAGAAGCAAAATACAGAAACTGTAAAAGGGGGAGTAGATGGAAAAAATAAGTAAAATAAGACACTCAGGAAAATAAGATGCAGAGCATGTCTACATATGCGCCCGTTGAGAGCACAGCTGTGCAGGGCTACTCCTGCCTTAATGTACTCCCCTACAGCAGCCAGGAGGAGCTCCAGGTTCCCCCAGGTGCCAGCCCCTGGCTGGCAGGGGACACAGAGGTCAGGCCTGGGTTCCAGGGGGCAGGGGAAGCTGTCCCATCTCAGAAGCAGCTGCCTCCAAACCCTGTGCTCCGATTGGCAGGGGCAGGGCTTGGGAAACAGTCCTCTGCCCTAGGCAGCTGCCTGCCTCCCAGCCCTGCACCCTGATCGGCAGATCCAAATGAGGGCTGAGACACCATCCCTACGCAGTAAATGTTGCACATGTGTAGACAGTGACACTTTTTACCATGCAGTAGATTAGTCTACTGTGCAGTAGTGTCTCATGTAGATGTGCCCACTCAGAATAAATAGATGGATTAAAACCTTTTATCCTCTAGATCAGCTTTTAATATCTTACATGGCTAGGAAGGGTAGGATGTTCAAGACCCTGTGTTTGGCTATCTGTACAGAATTTCTTACCTTTTGGGAAGGCATATGATAACACCAAGATATAATTCATATTTGTCCAGGTCTTGAATAAATAGTTGCAGAAATCTTTTCCTTTAATACTTGGACTAGAGTTGTGATCTTATTAGACTTTGACTAAAGTTCATAAGGTTTTTTTGAAACATCCAAATATGTCTATTGGATGGCATTTCACTGCTTTAATGTGCTTAGCTGGGTGAGGCACTCTTATTGCTGTATTGAGTAGGGAAAACTAAATTTCACCCATCTGTTTAGTTTAATTTATAGCTACAACTGCTTAGAAATCTAGGAAAGCTTAAAGATCAACCTACAAAAAGAGGCTTTTACAATTAGTACAAATATTTGGGGTTTACTTCTTTTGTTAGACTAAGGGAAAAGACAACCTTTGATTTTTGTGCAAACCAATTTTTGCAGTAAGTGTATGGTAGGTTCTTTACAGAATGGAGTGGGCATGGCTTGAAGATGCAAAAAACGCAGCATGCATGCAGCTGGCTAGTGGTGCCTGGTCTGCTTTGCTTGCTTAAGTGGGTTGACTGCATTTGTTTGATAAAAGCTGTGTGTTGGGGTGTGAGGGGACGAACTATTTAGAAACAAATGAGAAAGGAGCCTAAATAATTTCACATTGCCCTAGTGAAATAAAGTAAATCCACTGTCTTCGTCAGCAGAAATCTGCTTGCAGAGTCTTTGATATTTTGGCAGAACAATGTTTTAGGTTAGTGAAAATATCAACATCTCAGGTTTTGCAGAATAATTGATCGTTTGTTTGGGAATAAAATGAGCACATCTTGAATTGCAGAAGACAAAAATTGTTCTTTTGCAAGTTTTCTCTTGCCCCAAGACAGCACCTCTCGTGAGTCTAGACTGCTGTCAGTGCACCAACTATATTGTGCAAGACCTGGCAGTTAAGCTATTCCAGTACACTCATCCATCATTTATCAGTAAATATCGCTGTGAGCATTAACATGGAGAAATATACAGCCTTTTTTAATATAAAGCCCTTTGATGAACTATTTGAAACCCCCTACTAATTCAATAGATTCTCAGAATATTTCATAATATACTTGCCTCCCAAGAAATTTTATAGAACTTCCTTTTTTTTTTTTTTTTCAATTTCTGCTCAGGTCTGGTTTTAGGCAATGTAATTTGCAGATGTAATTGACTTCAAAGTATAGTTTGAAATATAGCTTAAGCAACATTCCTTTTTGTGCTAACTGCCTGGCTCTCTCCTTTACTTAGGTTCTGCAGTAGATTGGTGGGCTCTTGGAGTTTGTTTGTTTGAGTTTTTAACAGGAATTCCACCCTTTAATGATGAAACACCACAACAAGTCTTCCAAAATATTTTGAAAAGAGGTAATTCATCTAGAGGTAATTCATCCCGCTAGAACTGAACTCAAGAGTTTGCTGCATTGGTTGAGTTACTGACAAATTGTATCTCTTTTTATTTGTAGATATTCCTTGGCCTGAGGGTGAAGAGAAGTTATCCATGAATGCCCAAAATGCAATAGATATTCTTTTAACTATTGACACTACAAAGAGAGCTGGACTAAAGGGTTAGTATTTACTGTACTTGTTTCTTGCTTTCCATGCAATACATTGAATATGTGGAAATGTTACTGTCCCCACTAACATTTTGACAACCTGACTTATTTTATTGTCTGTGGGACTTGGCATATGGAAGCTAGAATACAACGCACATCTTGGTATTAACTGTTACCTATATAATCTCCAAACTGACAAGATGGCAAGGCTTTGCACTGTTTGAATAGGAAAGCAAATACTGAATTGGACCTTGCTTTGTGTTCATACTATTTACTATGATTGTTTAATATGTTTGTCATATGACTTGTCAAAGTGCAGTCTAACTCCTCCACAGATGCTTAGCTTCCAACTGGTTTCCCCTCCCTAATAAAAAACTTCTTAAACTCCTGCTAGCATATTACTGGTCTTGTATCCCATTTAATTTCTTAATTGCACCCCACTTAATTGCCTTATATAAATCTTTTAAAGAGAGAGAGAAATCTCAGAGGAACATTTGGCTTTGAGATCTCTGGCAGGAGGAGGTGGAGCTACTGTGTAATTACTTGTAATAAGAAATGAAAGTTGAAGCCAGAATAAGTCAAGAGATAAGGCATAGATTTTTCAACAGTTGAGGGTAACTATTTGAATAGCCAAGGAAATAGTGAATTATCCATCTTTTGATGTGTTCAGATGAAGACTGGATGCCTTCCTGGAGGATGCTTCCTCAAACGGAAGTTATTGGCCTCATTATTGGAGGAACTGGGTGAAATGTAATGGTCCATGGCATGCAAACTCAGATGAGATGATACACTGGTCCTTTCCAATGTGAAATTCTATAAATTTATGCCAGGAACTACCTGCAATTGTCTGAATATGAAGAAAAGGGATGGTCCTGCCTTGAGCAGGAGGCTGAGCTAGATGACCTGCATGGTCCCTTTCAGCTCTACTTTCCTCTCATCCTATCTGACTGATTGTAACAATTCTTTTAGCTATTTTAATGGCCACTGAAAGATAGCCATATTTGGGTGTTTTGGTCTATGTCCTGGTTCTGAGATCCTCTACCATTGTAACTAAGAGTCTCCAGGATATTGGATTTATGACACATTACAACCTGCCTGACATCTGATTCACCAGGTACTTGCCAGACCTGACCTTTTACACTTCTCTTTTGCCACCCCCGCCCCTTTTCTATCCTTTGTCTTCCTAATTTCTAGCTATTTACTTTTTCACAGACAACCTCTTCTTTTCCCCCCCTGTTTCCCAACCTCCCTTCCCTTCTCTACCTTTTGGTTTTCCTCATTTCTACCCATTTACATTCTCACTGACATCCTGTCACACTTTTAGCTTCTTTCATTCCTCTGAGATCTCAAAACAGCAAAGACTCCCTATGCCTGAAGAAGGGTGATTGCACCCAAAAGATTGCAAAGAACATTTTTCCAACTACTCTGTTGGTCTGGTAAGATATCACATCTACCCAAAGAACCTGGCCTATCCAGGACAGAAGGAATTTGATTGTCAGGGGTTGCCTCAATGATATTTCCATACAGGAGAGGTTAGAGGTAAGGCAACAGCTGGCAAGAAACTAGTGTCCAAAGTTTTTCCTTGATGCATCTAAATCAGTGACTATTGCCAGTAGTACTCTCTCTGAGAGGCATTCATGATCCTTTTTAAAAAACATAGCCAAGCATTTCTCTTACTTCCAACTGTAAGGCAAAGCCCTCAAGTTTTTATTACATAAAGGTGCTAGTTTTCAACCTGATCACATTGCACGTTAATAGTCACATGTTTGGGAACATAATTTGTAGTCGAACACAAAAGCAAAGGGACATTTACAAATGCTAAATCTTCTAGTTCCTCTTCTCGCTTAGAGCACCTTTTTAACATTGTGCCTACCATAAATCTTTATGCATTTTAACTTTCACGGGTTTTGGAAAACATGCAACATTAATTGCTTGTATTGGGTGGCCTTTTCAGTGTCTTGGGTCAGCTGGCAGTCTGGTCAGAGTGCTTACAGTTGCAGCAGGGTGGATTTGCTTTAAATCAAGTCAATTTAAATCACTGGTCAGGAAGCCTCGATTTTAGTAACTGTTTTCTACAAAAGTGCATTTTTGTTGTTTGTTATCTTTTATTAATTTAACTTCTTGAATCTTTGTACTTTTAGAGGGGTAAGGGTTTGACTCTGTGTATGCAAACTTGTGCACAGACAAGAGGGCAGATGAGTAGATAATCGGGTCTTTTATTTCTCGTCTCCATATACTGCTGTTAACAAGGATGTTATCTCTGGAGACAAATCCAGAGCTTGAGAACTGAAACTAAGCATGATAGAGATGCTTGATGCGATCTTCTAGACTGAGCACTGAGTCCTACTGGATAGAGTGGTTTTCTTTAATCTTTACTAATCTATAGAGAAGTCTCTGGGAACCCTACAAGATTGAGCCCCTAATATAGTCCATAGCCTGTTGTGACTTTTTTATAAAACTTTTCTAAAAAGATTACATGAATATATTGTCTCAAATAATATATAATTAGAAGTTATAATCTCTATTCCATGATGATATCTTTGACCTTTAACATATCTTAAAATAAAACAATCTTTTATATAGGTTTAAAAAAAAAAAAATTAGACCAAAAAAAGACTTTTTTTTAATTGATTTTTTTTTTTTAATTATTTTTTTATCCACCCTGACTGTTGCAGCCCTGTAGCAGCAGCCTCTGCTGAAGAAGAGTATGAAAATTTAAGTCCAGCTGTCCTTTTGTCCCTTACCATTCCCATTTCAGTTAGCTGTGGACCTCTGTACTGGCCTGTGGATACTGCTCTTTAGAAGGCCTCTGCTGAGCCAAGCACACGTTTGAACCCTCCACTGAAATTTGCATTTTGCAATTTGGGCCCAAAGCAGCACAGCCATCCTCCTTCTGGGAATGGTGTTCCAGGATGACTCGCAGGCACTTTGCATGAAGGAGGGCGAAGAGGCTCCTAGATTTCTTCTCAGATAAGGAATCAAAGTGGGGGAGGGAGTCTTGCTAGATAATCGGATCTTGTAACCCGACTCGGTTTTCCTGCCTGCAGCAGCTAGGGAAAAGGAGCCCCTGTTCAGGGTTTCTTGACCAAACCAGATTTTCAAGTAGGGTTAGTTTGCTTATACAGGTGATCTATAATAGGAAAGGAATTACTTATTGTGTGATAGTCATTGCATCATCTTTAATACAACCATCCAGCATCTCTGTTGTAGTCATAACTCTTACCTAACTTGTGGGGTTAGTTTGCATGGCAATACTCTGACCTCACTGGAAGCTGTTGACACTGTAGCAGGCTGTTTCCAGTTTGGGCTTATGTGAATGTCCAAAAAGGTAAAATAAAGTGTACAACATCTGCATACATGCCAAGTAAGTATGTAAGGGTGCTTGCAGACATAAAACAACCCCCAAAACTGGTACTTTTAAACTTGGTGCATTCCTGTGCCAAGCCCCACACATACCTAGAAGAGGCAGTGCATTACTTCAACCTGGCTCATCTGACATCTGTAAAGAATGGGTGCTTTAGCAGAGCTCTTTTGGTGCTTTTATTGAATAATTGTTTGAATTGGCTTTAGCTTAAAGTGCCAAAAAGTCCTGCTGAAGTGCCCAATCTTTACAGATGCTGCAGAGCCAAACTGAATTAATGCACTGCTGCTTCTGGCAAAGAGCAGTTTTTTGGTTTCTGTTTTTTTTTAATGTCTGCAGCCTAATTGGTTTAATTGCATAACATGATGCCACTCCCAATATCTTTCCTATTGATTGTATCATAAGTCATCAGTTAAATTCATATTGGTTAGAAGCATACTCTGCTCAAGTACATAACATCTTTCAGCTCCACTGTCTATTTTATAATGTAACTGTGCTCCTGTTAACCATGTAGACGTAGAGATGGACCCATCAAAGGGCTGGGCTAGTCAGTTTGGGAGCTGCTAATAGCATGGCACTGATAACACCATGTTAAAGAGAAACATTTATATTGTATGCCAGTAAGTGCATGCTTATTAATAAAGACGCTTGTTCCCAAGGCAATGCACTTAAGCAGAACTACTGACAACTGGGAGGTGAGTGCCGTGGCTGAATGACTAGAAGATGCTCCTAATGTATCTATCTCTACATTTTATTTTAGAGCTGAAGCATCACCCCCTTTTTGCAGGAGTAGACTGGGATAATCTGCAGAATCAAGCGATGCCTTTCATACCTCAACCAGATGATGAAACGGACACTTCTTACTTTGAAGCTAGGAATAATGCTCAGCACCTAACTGTGTCTGGATTTAGCTTATAAGAAGAAAATGAAACTCTGTCCATGGTTTTGCACACTTCTATCTTCCCATTTAACAGTAGGTTGGTTTTGGTTTTCTTATCAAGCGTACTTTTAAGGGGGAAAAAAAAAATCGGTCTACTTTTAAATTGTTGTGTCCATTATTATAGAACTAAACTACTGTATAGAAAGGTAATTAGTTCCAAATGACTTTTTTTATTTATCCTACTTACTGCACCTTATTTAGAAGTCTGAATATTATGTTTGTAAAGTTAATGGCACTTTCACACATGGCGTTTCTGCTGCCGAGGAATACTTTCAATTTGTGGTGGGTTATTCTGCAATGAAATAGAGCAGAGTAGGGGGACATAAATGTAGCTTAATTGTTTAAATTTAATTTATCCATTGTGGCTCAATAGATTAGTAGTCACATTTGGGATTGGTGATTGTTGGACCAGTTTCAAGATGCATAGAGAAATCAAAGTTTCTCTCAGTGCAGTGTCAAAACACCTAATCCCTTGGTGCTAGTCCTTTAAACGGGATGAAATTTCTAGATGTTTTAACAATGTTAAGTCACTTACATTGACTGTTCTGCTGCTGAGTTACTGGTGTTAGAAACTTTAGTGAACTTTTACTATCAGTATCACTTTTCCTAGCTTAAATGGGCCAGGGAATAAAAGCTTGTGGAAGCTGTTTAAATTGTCATGCTGAATGTGTTGTTGCAGGATGGATTAAACCATGTGTATTTTAGCAATTATTTGTTTTAATAGAAAAGTCTAAGTGCATGTATTTGGCCTCTTTCCTATGTCATGTAGTGCCATAAAAAATGATGTTTGCCAATCAAAACAGGATTTGCTGAAAAAGAAGATGCTATGAATTAAAGTCTATATTTCAAATTGATTAATTTGACAGCTTCACCATAAATTAGATTCAGTAAAACTTGAATTTCAATTAGGGCTTAATGAGGGATAAGCCCTATATTTTTTCCAATATATTAAAACTATATGTTGATTTTAATGTTAGATTGTGGAGATTACTGTTATATTTCTTATTGTCCCTTACTGCTAAATGTCTCTACTGCTGTTGAAACTGCTTCTTTTCCCTAC